GTTCGGTCGAATGTGGGTCGTTCGTGTCAGAGACGAGGTCGAGACGAGCCTTTGTCGTTCGGTGCCGGCTTGCTTCTTGAGATAACAGCTGGCTTCCGGTGCCTAGAAAGCGCAGTCAACTTGTGCCCCTGGCGCGGTAAACTTTGTCGAACGATGCACTCCATTCGACGAAGCTGCGTCGTCTTCGTCGAATCGTTAATCGCTACGAATTAAGAACAACGTCCCAGCAGGTCGAGAATCACATTTTAAACAAGCAACTTTTACACGGAGATATTTTCAACCTAGTATTCTTTATTATGATCCATTCATTCTTACTAATAGCTCCAGGATGGATTGTTTAAAAGATCGCCTTCATCGTTGATGCAGCGCCCTCTGTCCGCGCGCCATTTTGCTCCAGGCGCGGTAACCTCGCCAATGCCCATGTTCCACGTGCGTTGTAACCTCGACAAACGCCTGCACCTCTAATTATTTCGAGCTAAACGAACTCTAGCAGGACCCAAAGAGAGCTTAACGCGCGTAATGCGCGATACTTTCGAGTTTCTCTTCCTAGATATCGCTGCCTCCTAACCAAAAAGTCGCAAAGTTTCTTTCGTTGGTTTTTCTAGGTAGAGTCTGGTGTCTTCTGAAATAAAACACCCGACACCTCCTCGAAGACTCGAGACCATTCCAGAATGCGATCTAATTACAAAGGTGTCGGACGCCTTTGGCGAAGTTAGCTCGCCACTTACAATGTCGCGCCGACAAACAGCCCAATGGCGACATTTGCAACGTCGATTGTAATCGCTACTGCTAATGCGTTCAAACAACAATTCGGCGTCGAGGAGTCAAAGCATATTTCGTCGACGATCGCCGCTTTTATCGCTATTCTTTTCCTCCTTCTCGTCTTTCTGACGCGGGTATTACCACGAAACGGACCGCAAATCCACTTTTCTTCGCTGAACGGGATACGAGACGCCCGCACGCGACTCGAATACAATGTATCCGTGGAGTCTGCACGCGACGTCGAAGATACATCTTACCCCTGCAAGCTTCGAACTGTACGATGCTTCTTTGCTTTTCGAAATCTCTGAATCGGGAAATATTCAAGTGCACATCATTGTTTCTCTTCTGATTCGTCGAAAACACGATTAATGCCTTCAGAATTTTATTACTATTATTATTAAAATAATACATTTATACAGAATTCTCAACAAAATATCTCAAAAAATCAAAAATCAAAAAAATCAAAAAATCTCTCAAAAATCTTCTCAAAATAATACATTTATATAGAATTCTCAACATTAAACAAAGTTCGTGTATCGTTTGTATTCCAACGGGAGAATAATTTTATTTTAAAAGTTGTCAAGAATTTTCAAACAAAATTCCTCGAGTTCCCGAGAAGCTGAATACGGAGGAATTTGAATTATAAATTTTCCAAGCGGGAACTCCCCGAATTCTTTTTTTCTAGCTCCTCCGGATTTGTGAATTCTGTTTCAAACGTAAGGTTGTTCCCGCTGTGATTTAAACGACTATTTAATGTTTTTAACGACTTGTTTTGAAGTTCCAAACCACGGAAGTGATTACTACCGAAATTTATCAAGAGACACGATTGTGCTTCCGGAGCAAAAATTCTGGACACTTTATCGTGTTTTCTACGAATTATAATTCTCTCATAGACCATTGCTTTTATTTTATATATTCTCTGATGTCTACACTATCGTTAATACAACTAATCGTCTTTTAATTCGTACGCTAATACAAGGCTGCTTATCAATAATGCTATTTTAAAAGCTAGAAATTACGAATTTAAAAAGAATTTTAAGAATGTGCAAAACAATGTATTTTTTGATATCTTCTGAACTCGAAGTTGATTCACCTGTTGCATCGTAAATATTTATTTCCTTGGTCGATGATCGAACCGTTATCAACAGGTTGTTAGTTACTCGTACGTTCGATTCTTCCAATTAGATGAAGTATCAAAATTGTTACTGCGAAATAATTTCGAAAGGATGCTTTTAAGAGTTAATTTATAGATTTATTGATTTGCTCGGCAAGTCAAGAATTCTGAAGCATCGATCGCGTTTGCCAAGCGACTAATGAAATTTCGCCGCGTTGCGCGATCGCGTAAAGCATAAAGCAACGTTATTGTCGAAATAACGGACCGACCGCGTTAATGGAGCTCTAGCTTTAATATCGATAATGAGAACGGGGCCAACCCCCCCCGTCATCGACGTCCACGATTTTTACGCGACTCGATCTCTATCCGATTAATTAGCGGACCGTTTTGGAATTGGAAACGCGCTGGAACCGTTCCAAGGAAAACGGTATCATCGATTATTTCCGCGGGAAAATAATAATTCCGAGGGGGGTGGTGTATCGTTCCGTTTCCCATTTCCCTGTAATTTCGCGTTTGGAAGAGGCTTGATACAATTAATTCGTTTCGAAGCCTCCTGCACTTAGACGCGGAGGCTCCCAACGCCGAAGCACCTGGGGAATTAAAGTTTCCCTGTTCGAAGTTACCAAAGCGTCCAGGTAATGCATCACCCGATATTAAAGGTCCGGGATATAGAGAACTTTGGTGCAGAATTTCGTCGAAAAGTCCCTAAAATCCTCCTCCACGATCGGTAGAACGGAAGACGAGAGCGTGAAATTTCTACCGAAGCGGGTGTAGTGACGGCAATCGCGGTTGTTCCCCGTTCGAAACAATCCCTCTCTTCGCAAATCGACTTTCCCCTAAAATCGAAACCACCGCCCGGTCACGAAACCGCCGTCTTCGCTATCGATCTTACTTGGCCATCCTGAAGCACGAACATGCGCAGCGGCGCGAAGTCGCACCGCGGGTTGTGCTTCAATTTTGGGCCGGAGGGCGTTACGCGCGGGGGGTCCCGGGCGCCATAGAATTTCGCCGAACAGGGCGAATAAAGATCCGTGACGAACGTACGGACGGTCGTTCAACGCTGGAACTACCAACAATTATCTATTCGTACCATAGAAATTAAAACGATAGCTTCTCGAAGAAATCTACAATGCAATAATAGTATTTATTTTCAATAATTCAGTCGAGTAAATTTTCAACAATCTCTATTAGAAATCAGGAGTCATTTCGACCATTTCCGTTCGAGCGTTAACGTCCCTCAAAGAAAACGCGCAGCAACGTCGGTGGTGGTCGTCGTCCTCGTGGTCGGTGCCGTCGACGACGACGACGACGACGACGCCGGTGGCGGCCATGTTTGCGCCGGCACAGTAGGCGTTCACGGGCGGTACCATCCCTCTACCCGTTCTCCAACGACTTTGGAGAACGGCCTCCCCCCACCTCCGGTCGTCTGGTAAACTTCTGGTGGGGTACCGCGAACGATCTTCCGTTGGTGCCGGTTCTACCCCCCACCACGCGCTCGCCTCTCCCCCGTCCTCTCCCTCCTTCTCTCTCTCTCTCTCCGGATCCGAACTAGTCGCGTCTTTCTCGCTCGCGCGCTCTCGGTGTCCCCGGTCGGGTCGTCTCTTAGCTGCCAGCAGCCGCTCGGCGCCCCCTCTTTCCCTCCCCTCGGTTCCACCGGTAGACCGTCTCGCCGCGTCTCATCCGTCCGTTTCCACGCACCATGGTCCGGGGGAGAGGGTAGCTCTGCCACCACCATGGTGGGACACGGAGCCCCGGACGGGGGAAGTCTCGCGAGGACGTCGAACGGGAGGATCGAACGCGCGCGGGGGGGCATCTTCTCGCATTCCTTCCCTTCGTCTTCGCGTTGTTCTTTTCTTACTCCCCGGTCCACCCATCGATTTCGTTTTCTTCGTTTCCGGTCCTCCCCACCGTTTTTTCCCCTCCCCCTCGTCGGTCCCTTCCCCGCCCCCGAACGTTTCGAACCACATTACCCGTTGCCGCGTTTCTCGCGGCTCGTTGTTTTCGATTTTTCGCGGGCAGGAGAAGGAGGAGGACGTTGCCTCCGATGCCGCCTCGATGGCCGACTGACAACCACTGACGCCCGCTCCCTTTCAGCGTTTCGCGGCGTGTCCTGATTGGCCCCCGCGGTCCCGATCGTTAAGATTCGACGAAGTCCGCCGCCGGGGAACTTCTTCCTCCCCCTCCTCCCCATCCCCCTCACGCACCGTTGCGATGGGAACTCGGGCGAAATTCGAAAAGCGGGGGTCGTCGAAGGGCGCCGATTTCGGGCGCGAAACCGATCCCAGCGCCCTCTCGAGGCCCCCCCGTTCGTCGTTCCTTGTTAAAAAGTTTTCTTAACCTCAACTTTTCGTCCGCGTTCGTCCGTTAATTATCCCTCCCGCCGGTGGTATTTGCACTCGCGGCGTTGGGGATCATTGGGCGGGAACGCTTTTATGTTTACTCGCGTTTTTATTAACAAAGAAAATTGTAACTACGACTCCGTGAACGCGGACAGTAGCACACGGCGCTGCTCGCTTCTGTTCGAGTCTATTTGACCGAATGAGATAAGATTGAACGTGTCGCTATTATCGACACGTTTTTGGACGATCGTCGCCTCCAACGATAATGGAGAACTCTGGACAGAGCGTTTCGTCGGCGTAACTGTTATTTCTTTTGCAATAATATTTACTATAAAAATCTTTCCAGTAGGGTTTTAGATACTATAAAAAGATGATTGTGTCGATTTCGTGTCCGGAACTTTTATTGCGTCTGTCGCGTACGTTAACGGCATCTGTTCGTGATTTCACGATGCTTACAGCATTTCACGTTGGCGATATCGATAAATTTTAAATAAAATCCTATTAATGCAACGAGTCAAAAGTGTCGAAGACCCGTTTGGCGTAAATGCTATAATTGATAATTTACAAAATTACTCCGATTCCTCGAATTTAATCATAAATAATTCATGTATATTAAACGCGCGAGCGTCTCGTCGAACGAAATTAATCGTTCGAGATCGTCGTATTCGGTATACAACGATACCCCTAGCAAAATGGTAATGTCTGTATTTATTCCTGATGAATTACGCAAATATTTTTCCGGCAACTGCGTCCTCTAATTCGTTTCCCGTTATTGTTTGTTGCAGAAAGAACATCGGGAGGTTGTTGCTGGAAATATTTCGCACCGCCGTTAACAATGGAACGAAATTCGACGTAACGGAAATCATGCAGTGCGTGAAATATTTCGTCGAGGATCCCCGTGAGTCCGTTTTTACATACATTAACAACGAACTAACGTAGACGATTAAATAATGAAATGTTAATATTTTGTTTTCGGAACGAACGGTCCTAAAATTATTCACATCGCCGATGCAATGTATCTTTCGCTTGGAATGTCTGGCCGTTTTGTGCAACGCTCAAATCCCCCTTTTATTACGCAACGCGTAGCCAAGTACCTTTCGAAATAAGAAATACTCCGCGAACAATGATCGCTCAACCAGAACACTCGCGTTGTAGCAAGTGTACCGTATGATTTTTAACACCGTAGCCTTATATGCACTATATTAACTTTATCTCTCGCACCGCAACACCCCGTTGTTTAATTTTATTCGTTGATTTACAATGTGATCTGAAAGGATTGGAAATACTTCTGAGCCAAATCCTTCGCGCACCGTTCACGCATGATTGGCTGCCATGTTGTTTTTTTTATGTTCGTTATTGACGCTTATTGCTATTTTGTTGCTTGTTGCTTTTACTTTTCGCCTGTGCACCAACGCGTTGACTGCCGCGTGACCCGTATATGGGTCACGTAGGGCTATTCACCGAAACGAACGAGACAAAATTTTTGCTTGGTATTTTTATTCCCTTGCTTCGAGAGATAAGATTGTACGAAACGTCGCGCGTACGCTGAAATTATTTAGCAAAAATGCACTTTAACCGTTGCAACATTTTACGCTTCTCGATCGCACGAAGATGAAAATGGTCGGTTATTTGGCGACGAGAGATCTGATTTGCACGTCGCCATGGGCCACGAGAAACGCCGATTGCACCTATTTTTAATCACTTATCGTTGGTACGAAACAGACCCAAAGATCGTTTGCACAGCAGTAGTGTCTCTCGCACAGAAATGTTGATCGATCGTTTGTACGTTGGTCGAGCATCTTCTTTCCTGTTCTTCGACGAGCAAAGATCGGTGGCGCGTCTCGTCCTCCAGGAAATTCCTTTTTAGGCGGTTCGCCATTTGTTTTTCCGGTCGTTCCGGGGGCCCCTGTTTCCCCGAACGAAAAAGGCACCCACGAGAAGCGTTAGACGGGAAGATGTTTAAAAATAGGAGGACAGGGCGGGCCGCGTTCTTGAGCCAAGACAGAACGTTCCGTATTGCGGAGGGGGAGGGGGTAAATGATGAAGCCGGTTGGGGTTGCAGACGAGGCTGTTGCTCCGCGAGGTGACGACAAGATTGTCGCCGCTTCCGGTGCAGCACGTGCCCCCGCCGGAAGTCCCTCGTGGTTTCCGTGTACGCTTCGAAGTATTTATACGAGCACGCGTAACACGGTTTACCTTTTCCTCTCCGATTCGAGGAATTCGAAATAACACGGTCCCTTCGAAAGAGGCGAGGCGCAAGCACCACTCTCGCGGGACCGTAGAACTTTAATTGTCGGCCAAAGTCGCGTGAAAATAGTTACGAACGGAAATTACCGTTTAAAAAAATTATTTTTTTAACTTCAAAGGGGGCAGCAAAGTTACAGTAAAGTCCATTTACTTCGTTTCGAGGCACGTTGATCCCAATATGGAAGGTGCTGCAGGTATGTTCGTTCCTCGAGTATTCCTCGCCTGGAAAACAATGCAGGATAGTCGGTAGCGCGTGACCGGTTTGAAAAATCGAGGCGTCCAGGTTCGCAGAAGTCGAAAAAGACCTAGGTGGCGGCCGTTTCGCAGAATTCGGGGAACCGTGTTCAAAGGTCATCCGCAAAGTTCCGTCGATGGGTATCTACGGTGAAAACGTCGCCCCGTAGCTCGAGCACGGGGCGGCGAACCTTTCGGAAAGCCAGTGGCGGCTTGGCCACGGTCCTTCCGCGAAAAACGTTTTCTTTTTACCTGGCTGGGGCCCCTCTGGTTTCGTGGAAACGCGGAGAACGACGGGGACGCTGCCACCGCGTTTTCATCCCACTAATGGCTCCTTTCTTTTCGGAAGCCTTCGAAAATACTTTAAGACCGAACCCGGTCCCCCTTTATTTCCGCCGTTCTTAATACGCGTCCCCCGCGGCGACAAAGGTGGAGTAATATTTCGACGAAATTAAAAAATTTCAAATCATTCTGGAAAAATTATTTTTAGCTAGGGGGGTTAAGTAGAATCACTTTTGGTGAATAGACATACCCTCGAAATCCTACGCAGTTTCGAGAAAAAAATTCGAGTAGGTGGAGATATATTTCGACGAAATTAAACAATTTCAAATCGGTCTGAAAAAATTATTTTTAGCTAGGGTGGTCAAATACAATAATTTTTGGTGAACAGACATACCCCCGAAATCTTACCCAGTTTCGAGAAAAAAATTCGAGTAGCTGACCAAATTTTTCGACGAAATTAAAAAATTTCGAATCGTTCTGGAAAAAATATTTTCGTTTGCAGGGGTGAATTGCAATCATTTTTGGTGTATAGATATACCCCCGAAATCTTACCCAGTTTCGAGAAAAAAATTCCAATAGGTGAACAAATTTTTCGACAAAATTAGAAAATTTCAAATCGATATGAAAAAATTATTTTTATCTAGAGGGGTCTAATAGAATCATTTTTGGTCAATAGACATACCTCCGAAATCTTACCCAGTTTCGAGATAAAAATTCAGGAAGGTGGACAAATTTTTCGACAAAATTAAAAAATTTCAAATCATTCTGGAAAAATTATTTTTAGCTAGGGAGGTCAAATACAATCATTTTTGGTGAATACACATACCCTCGAAATCCTACGCACTTTCGAGAAAAAAAATTCTTTACCAAAAATATAACATGTGATCATAAATATTTCCCCAAAATTTCCTGCGTATATATAAAAAATTAGAATTTGACGAATTGGAGGATTTTAATGTTTCGTTGAGGATCGTGTGTATAAGAACGAAGGGGCCAGAGTAGATCTCTTGCGGGGGTCGCCACAGACGAAAGAGCGGAGACCCCGGAACCGACTCGAGGGATGCAACTGTCCGGGGAAAAGGTGCATCCCTCGATGCACGATCCCGCGGAACCGTTGCACCGGGTGGGCTATTTCTGGAGTCCACGGGAAACATCTTGCCCCCGTAACACGTGCCGACATCGGTGTTTTTCCGTAGGGCGATCGAAACCCGAAGGGACGCGAGCGAAGATTCGGTACTCGGAGGGCACGCGACACGCGCGTCCACGTATTTTTGGACGCGACGCTTACACGGGACGCCCCTAAGGACGCCAGTTGCGACGCTTCGTGGGACGCCCCTACCCCCTATTTACGACTTTTCCTAGCCATATGTAGACCGTGTATTCGGAAGATCAAGACAGACGCGCGTCGAGGTCTTGTCGCATAGTAGACAGGCTGTTCACCCTATTAGCTGCCAACAATTTTTTCGAAAACTATATCGTGCTCAGAAAGAACTGAAAGGGGGGTAAAAAGTAGATTTCTCATAGAGTCAAGATTACCTCCTCCTCCGCCTTGCGATTTCGAAAGACTTGGCGGCAAATATCGTCCACGTGGACGGGTAGAGAGCCTTCCCTCCGACGAAGAAAATTCGTGGAAGCCCCGGGTCCGTGTCGAGGAAAGGGCAATCTGGAAAATAATCGGCGACGCTTAATCCCGAAGGAGCGCAGCGGGATATTTTTGGCGGGACAGAAGGCGCGCAAGGATGGAGTAGGCGGAGAAGAAGATAAGACTCCGCGCGTGATTAATGGACCGAGGGCTGGGGCGGAGAAAAGGGGGGGTGAAGGAGCGACTGAGAAACGTGTAGCCAGCTTCTCGTTCGAAGTGGTGCGGGGGCGGGCTCCCGGAGGGTGGAAGTCCCGGGCGAAACGGGAAACGGCCCGCGCGAGTGGAGGGAAAAGGCGAAAGCACGTGCTCGGATCGTGGGCCCCGGACGAAGGGCTCGCGGAAACGACCGAAAACGAACGAACCCCCCACTCCCGGTCGTTTTTGGGCCCCGTCGGAGTGGGAGGTGGCGTGCAACCCTGCATCGGTGGCCCCCCCTCCCACTCTCCGCCGCCCTCCCCCGGAAAAGTTGGACAAATCGGGAGAAGATGCGTTTCCCGCGACCCCGACGAATCGACTCAGTCGCACCCACGCTCTCCGCCGGTAACGTCGTTCTTGTCGTCCTCGAGACCATTTTTCCCGCGCTTCGAAAGTGGCACAGTGCGCGTCTCGGGAGTGGGGGTGTTGGAAATCGAACATTTTCCCGCGTTTTTTCTTTTCCGTATCGTTTCGAAATACACACGCGTCTTGTAGGAATACATAGAAATATTCTTCGCGAAATGGTGCTCGAATCAAGGAAAACCATGTGGTGTCTCTGGTTCGCGACGATATTAACGCCGGAAGTCGTCGAAATAGACGGTCGATCCAGCATGGCCGTAGAATTTTTTCACCTCGTTCTCGCTTCCGTGCGTGATTATGCGTCGTTCTGTTCGCAACGGGCGAACGGAATTAAGGAAATTACCCAGGTAAATAGTAGTTTTTTGTCCAAACGTTCGTTGCACCTGTTCGGGTGAAGCACAGACGGTCGATGGTTCGTTTCGCTAATGACCAACGGGGAAATTCTCGTTCTTTATGGGCGTCGAGGCCCGGCCGGGGGCTAAAAGGTGCGAGTTTTCCTAATCAGCAGAGGCGCCAGCCCTGCGACGCCCTTTTTCATTCAGGTATTTCGGCTACCCGACGGTCAGGAATAAAACGGCCAAGGTCGAGAAAACCGACGGAAGAACCTTCCGAAACTCTCACTCTCTCGCTCTCGTCGTGTTTTTCTTGCTTTCGACGCACGGAACAGCGGGGCCCGATCGTGAGTTGCAAAGAAACGATCGAATTCCTCCTAGGAAACCGATGATTTTCACCATTCGTGGCTCTCGACTTGACCGTGGAAAATAACTTGATCGTATCTTCGTATCGAAAGATCGTCCTAATTTTTGTTCGTTTAACGACAAATCGAATGATAAGAGAACGTGCAACCGATCGTAGAACGTAAAATTGAATTTCTATAATCGATGCAAGCCCTGAAGCGTCCATTACTCGTTATTTGCGTAGAACGAATCGAACTGGATCCTTTTTGATTTCAGACATCCAGGTACGGTTGGATCTGGTGGAGCAGCTCCCGCACGTGGCGATGATCTGCGAAGAAGCATCGTACCTCTACGGGAACATCTTTCACGACTACCTGCTGGACATAATTTTACAATACCTGCAGGACGCGGACATACAGGTGACTAATTCGTACGTTTGTTACACACGATCGGACGAACACGGCCCCCAGAACACTTTTAGCGCGATCGTTTCGAAATACCGTAAGAATTCCTAGGGCCCCCCATTGACGAACATCCCTTTTTCTCGTTGGCCAGGTAAGGGAGGTGACAGAGATGGGGATACTGATGCTAATGAACAGGGGACTCCTCGACAACGACACGATCGAGACCAAAGTCTGCCCCGTAATAGAAATCCTTTGTAGGTCCGTCGATTTGTTTAACACTGCCGTCTCCGTAAGTTTTCACTTCTTTATTTTTCTTCTCTCTTCTCTGTTTTCTTTTCGTGTTTCATTTTTCTTTTTTCTCTCCCCCTCCTCTATCCCACTTTCTGTTTTTTCGACGACCGTACCTGGGCGTCTTGCGCGACGACAGAAACCGTAGAACCGTCGAATATAGCTTGTGACCCCCCCTCCCCCCTTCAACGAGATATCGTAATCTCACCGCCACCCCTCCAGTCCTCGACGTCGCGTTTATCGCGTTCCGCAACCGTTTTTCAAGGGACGCGTCGAACGGGACGCTCTTTTTTTTGTGTGTCACGATTTAACATTCTATCGAGCGGATCCCCGGCGTCGTTTCAAATGGGATTTTAATGTCTCCGCGAAACCCCACGCGCGGCGGTTAATTAACGAATACGTATATAGGAAGTGGCGTGCGCGCGAAAATAGAAAACTGCTCGTTGCATTCCGGATCGCGTTCGATCGGCTCGCTTTGAGCCCTACGAGGACTTCAAAGCGGATCTCGATCGAGCTCTGTCGCGAAAAGGATGGAAAATTAAACGGCAATTATTGTCCTTAAAGGGTTAATTCTCGTAAGGCAAAAGTGGGTAAAATCGCGTCGTAGATACCGTCTGCTTCTTGAAACTAGAGGGTCCCACAGGTTAAAAGTCCATATCGTCGAATAATTAAAAAAAAAAGAGTATTTTTGCCCACTTTCGTCGCACGATACCCAAGAAAACGCGTCATATGCGTCTCGAAGGAGCGCTGTAACACCGTTCGTGGTTACCCATCGACGGATTCCGTCTGAAAGACATGGGTAGTGAGATGTTCTCACGCTATCGCGTCTCACTATCTTGTCTTTCATCCGGCGTTCGTTCAGCGTCGACCGAGAAGAAAAATGGCGCTCGTCGGGTGGAAATTTTCAAGGATCCCGCCGTCACGAAGAACAAGGAGAGAGGAGGATCCACGGACCCGGGACATGCTTTTACCATCAAAGTTGGTTTGTCATAGAGATCGACTATCACAGCCAGCTTTGATGAGCAAAATTGTGTCCGTCCTCGACGCGATTCGAGAAAAAAGGAGCACGTGAAAGACAGAGAGAGAGAGAGAGAGAAAGGGACGTGGAAATAATTACCAGAGAGACCCAGGAAGCCAAACGTATCTCACGGAACGGAGAAACGACGGAAACGGAAGCGAACGAGAGAAGGACAAACGGTTGGATCGGGCGCATAGGACACCCGAAACGAAAATACCTTTTGCGGTCCGATACATCAAATTGGTTGTGGAATGTTTCGAGTCATATCACAGCCATTTTGATGAGCTTGGCCCGCAGAATCGATCGTCGGGGAAGCCGTTTATACACGTTCTGCCATCATCGACTCCGCTTAGTGCTTAATTAATCACCCACGTAGGCCCGCGGAACACCCACGAACCCGGAGATATCTTTACGACGTCGTAGTAGTTTCGTGACCCTTCCCCAAGGAACAGTTTTTTACACCTATATTATATACAATTACGCTCGTATTCGTACGCTGTAACGATCATTTGCTGTACGTGAAATAGAACTTCTCAACGATCGTGACACGTTGAAAACACCCGGCCATTGCTAGGTAACTGCTTGAGGATCGTCCATTGTTGGCATTACACACCGTTTATATTGTACCTTTCTATCGGTTTTGTGATTGTGAGATGTCGAGTGCTTGTGAGAGAGTTAAGAGCCGTAGCCCTCTGGTGGCGCCAGAACCAATCTCCGTTAGTTGCTTGGTAAAAATTCGTAAGTTTCTTTTATAGCGAGTCCGTCGTTATAGCGTACGAGTCGAGGAATAACACACACGCCCTGAAAAAAGTCTCTCTCCGACCGCGCATCGGAAAAAGCTACGGAAGAAAACTTGCGAATGGAACGAGAGGAACGCGATCCAATCGTCAAATTGGTTGTGGCGTGTTGCTTTTCTAGATTTCATATCACAGCCATTTTTGACGATTTGGATCGCCGTTTTTTTGCGACGCCCGCGACGTTTCCCCCAGCAGCGTGCAGAAACCTCGACGGAAAAGGGCAACGGTATTAAGGGGGATTTCTTGCTCGCTGGCAAAGGGAACGAAAAAGAAGAACGCGCGTGCATCGCTCGCAAAGTGGTTGTGATATGCTGATGCGAGCGTTCACATCACAGCCAGCTTTGATGAGCGTTGCGCCCGCGATGCGTTCGACGATCTTAGAAGACTCGAAGGATTGGAAGTCCCCGGGGTTACGCGAGGAATACCGTTATCGATCTCGAGGCGTTTTACTCGCTACGTTTTCCGCGTTCTATGCAACCGAATCGATCCCAATTCGTCGTTCGGCGTCGATCTAAGCGGAGGAACAAATTTAAAAAAATTCATGTCAAAATTGAAAAATAACAGTTTGCAGATATATTCACTCGCCCTACGAGCACAGTATTTGTTTTCATTCGATAATTTCAAAAATTCTGGAAGCTGTAACTTTTTGTTTAATGGCTCCTTCCCAGGGTCTAGTTTCCGGGGAGTAATAATTGTACGATTTGAAAATAATACTAAACACTATTTTAATTATCTTCTTTTCCAACAACGAATCTTAGTATTATTTTCAACGATTTCAAATTTATATACAGCACACTTGTTATAAAAGCGAAGAATTATATCTGCGGCGTAAATTAAAATCATTATGGGTTTCTGCTCGTTACAGCAGCGATATCTGGCTATTTCCGTGCTCGTTACCAAGTTCGATCGTAATTAAAAAATAAATTCGAACAAGGTCGTGTTTGGACTTGTTCTCGTTTCGGGTAAACTTCGAGCAGCTTGAATTCAGTGGGGGGAATATTGGTTGCATACAAGCGGGGAATGGTGGTGTACGCCCTTCTTTTCGCATAGAAATAGAATTTGTCCATCTCTGTTTCTATCGATCTCTCTTTGAGAAAATTTAAAAATATTTCTGATCACCCACATTCGAATACCGAATATCATTTTGTCATGGTGCTCTGGCAGCGTTAGGCGTTAAGGTTGGGTTTCTTTAACGAGCTGCATCGAATCGTGAACGATCGTAACAAAACGATGGCGGTTGTAGAATCCTATCCCGTCGGATGATTCACTTCTGCCCTTCTCCTCGTGTACAATTAATTTTATCGTTGAACAATGACCTACTGATTTCGACGAGTACACACATGCGGGCGCTGTGAAAAGTAACTCGGAACGGTCGTGGAACCGATCGATCCACCGCGACCATCCAGCATCCCTAATTTCATTGTACATGTTATTCTTTTCCAGGTGTTTAGTGGCGCGTATTCGACTGTTCCTCCCATCAGAGTGGTTGTGATGTGGTGGCTTGGACTCGTATCACAGCCAGCTTTGATGAGGGGAACGGCGCGATTTATGACTCCGTTTACCACGATACGCCATATTGGATCGTTGGGTGGTCCAAGCAAACATTTTTTTTAAAAACGCTCAGAAAGGGACAGAGGGAGAGAGAGAGAGCAAGCACATGTTGCGTTATCGTCTATAAACGATTGTGATGTTGCGTGTGACTCACGCGTTGAGTCATCGGGTGTCTCAGAATATGTTAAATTACGTTGAACGCAGGGTAAAAAATATTGTTAGAAATGCGTTGGAATACGTGTATATGCAACACGTGAAACGTCGACGGGGTTTGTTCCCTTCGTGTCTGTCTCTGTGTGTGTGTGTATCGTTTCTCGGTCTTCCGTTATCTGTTATCTGTCTGTTTTGTTTGCTTTACTATCGCAGATTTGTTTTCTATATTCGTACGAGGTATATCGTGTAATTATGTCGATCCGCAGCTCATGAGCAAGATGGCGCCGCTCATTGGCAAAGAGCTGACAGAAAAGATATTTCTGGACAAATACATTACACTCTGCAAAGACGAGGAGTTTTACGTGAGGAGGATCTGCGTCACGTACTTCGGGACATTTTTCGCCTCGGTCGGGAAGAAGGCGGTGAACTGTAAACTGGTGAGTTTCCTCGTCCGTCAGCGCCCCCGGGAGCTCGTAAACATTAATTGTAAAAAGAACTTTCGGGTTTTACAGTCGGATCCCAATATTGGTAAATTTCCTACGATTTTGTCCTTACGACCCATGGAATTTTTCTTTTCTACGTACGGTTGCGTGTAACACACCCTGTAGAACTGTTCGTCCGTTCGATCAAAATGACTCTGCCTATTCGCGCGAACCTAATCCTTCGGCTGGAATTGGAACGATTTGTCTACACGTGCGAAGCTTCTCTCGGGTAGAAAAATCGATCGCTCTGCTCGTATGGAAAACGATTCGTTGGCCGAGGGACGGGAAACCCCCTTCGATCGTTGCTCGTGTTTTCTCAACGACGACGGAGATTCGAGAGAGAGAGAGAGAGAGAGCGATATAAATTATATCCGACCAAACGAGAGTAGCCCTCCAACCGTTTTCACTGAATCGTTTTCGTTTCTGTTGCAGTTCCCGACGTACACCAATATGTGCCACGATAAAGGGTGGGGCATCCGGAAAGCGTGCGTGGACGCTATGATGTCAGTCGCTTGCTGCACGACTCTCCTCTACCGTCGAACAGTGTGCGCGAAACTAATGGCCACGCATCTTAATGACGAATCGAAATTGGTGCGAATGTCTGCCTTTCAAATTTTAGGACCATTTATTTCCACGTTCGCGAAAGAGTTTACCGACATAACTTATAATCAACACTGCGAACTAGTGTTTACCAGCCGACAAGATGCTCGTTTCAGGTATAAAAAGCGTTTTTGTTTTATTAAAACCCCCTCACTCGGCCGACCACGGGACCCCGCGCGTGTTGTTGCATAGCGTTCTTTGTTCTCCGTTTTGTCTTTTGTATTTTGTCTTTTGCCTTTTGCCTTTTTCCACGTCTCTTTCGCTTATCGTTTTTCGGTTCGCATGTTTCCCCGTTCTTCTTCTGCCCTGTCCCTATCGCGATCTAATTTGTCTTATCATCGTCGACGATCGAACGGAATTACAATTTATTCCTGTTACAGCGTAAGGTACGCGTACCAGGGCATTTTTCCCAAGAGTCTCACGCTCAACTTTAATTACGAGGAACCCTTTGTCGGCGACTCGTCCGTGAAACAAATTTTCGAGGAAGAGGACGACGAGGTCCAGCCCAAGACTCGCATGAAATCGTTCAAATCGCAGGTGCGTTACCAATCGACCGTTCAGTTTTGTTGATTCGTTGGATATCGGTTAACCCTTTTAATGCCAACGACGACATATCGTTGCGTATGCGATGGTGCCTTGTTCTTCGCATTAGGCGAAAGCTCTGTCTCAAAAAGAATTTGTAAAACATTATTAAGGGTCTAATTTTATTGCAAAAGCATTTGAAAAATTATTTTTGGGTTTAACCCTTTGCCCCAGAAGCCTTTTTCGCTACTACTTTGTGGCGGAAACGTATGTATTCTGGAGTCGTCATATTATACAGGGTGTTCGGCCAACCCTGGGAAAAATTTCAATAGGAGATTCTAGAGGCGAAAATAAGACGAAAATGAAGAATATCAGTTTCTTGACTGAGGCCTCGTTAAAAAGTTATTAACAATTAAATTAAAAAATTTCAAACCGTTCTGGAAAAATTATCTTCGATTGCGGGGGTCAATTACAATCATTTTTGGTGAATACACATACCCCTGAATTCCTACCCACTTTCTAGAAAAAAATTCGAGTAGGTACTGAACTTTTTAGATGAAATTAAAATATTTAAAATCACACTAAAAAAATTATATTTAGTTACAGGGGTCAATTAGAATCATTTTTTATCGTTATACATAGCCCCGAAATCCTACGCAGTTTCGAGAAAAAAATTCGAGTAGGTGAACAAATTTTTCGACGAAATTAAAAAATTTCGAATCATTTCGGAAAAATTATTTTTAGCTAGGGGGGTCAAATACGCTCATTTTTGGTGAATATACATACCCCTGAATTCCTACCCACTTTCTAGAAAAAAATTCGAGTAGGTACTGAACTTTTTCGATGAAATTAAAATATTTAAAATCACACTAAAAAAATTATATTTAGTTACACAGGTCAATTAGAATCATTTTTTATCATTATACATAGCCCCGAAATTCTACGCAGTTTCGAGAAAAAAATTCATTACTGAAAATTAGATGTCTGACCATACCGTTGACATGTTTCACTGAAAATTAAAAAAATTTTCAAATCGTTCTGAAAAAATTATTTTCGGTTGTGGGAGTCAATCGCAATCATTTTTGGTGAATAGACATACCCTGGAAATCCTGCGCGTTTTTCGAGAAAAAAATTCAGTACTGGCTCCACTTTAAACGTTAATAACTTTTTAACAAAGCCTCATCATATTTTGAATGATTTATTAAAAAATCATTGAAAATCAAATACTTATACTTTATGCTACGTGACCTACATAAAACTGTGATCAAACAATGATTATTCTTATGTGTAAATATTGTTTGGAGAAGAGAAACTTGTTTCTACGTTTTTTATCATATTTTATAATTATGTTATTTATATGATTTGCAATAAATATTGAAACGCAATCGCCATTATTTTATTCTATCTTTATTTCGTAATATACTGCTTTTTGAATTTTGTAAATATCATTCTTAGTTTGGTTTTTATGAGCTTTTTCTTTAACCATAACAAACTCGTTAAATTGGCTCGGTATTCTTCGCATTGGCACTAAAAGGGTTAAACAATGTGCTCACTGAACGCGTTCTCTGCAAGTACTCTTGCACATTTAACTCCTTCGCTGAATAATGATTTCTTATTTTCTCCCTCGTTTCTCAGAGACAAAAGGAACGTTCCAAGACCTCGAAGCTCGAGGAGACGACGGACGACATAAAGAAGTACAGTCCGTTTTTGTACTATTACATAGCGCCGGATCTGCCGCCGGACGACGAGCTCGTGAAAGCCGCGAAGAAGTCCACCGCGCAAAAGACCACCGCGCAGAAGTCCACCACGCAGGAGAAGGTCTATCGAGAGTCGCCAAGGATCAGCAACAGGCGCAAGGCGTCGATGATCAAAAACGTGTTGAGCAAAGAGAGCTTCCCGGCGGTGGAATTCCCGGTGGTCGAGTACCCGTCGTTCCCGGAGCTGTCGACGAACGAGTCGCCCGTGGATGAGATCGGGGTGGTTATCAATTGGGACGTGCAGGACATCGTGCCCCAGCATCTGATCGATTCGTTCCTGTCGATGGTCGCGCCGGAGGAATTGATAGACATGAGCGCGGACCTCCCTCACTATTGCGCGTTCAGCTTCCCCGCGGTGGTCCTCACGCTGGGCAAAGAGAACTGGTCATACTTGAAACAGGCTTACCAGGCGTTGGCCAGCGCAAATCAATATAAAGTCAGGAGCATGGTGGCGTCCAGCATCCACGAGATCGCCGCGATACTGGGCCCGGAGCTCACCGCCACCGATCTCGTACCGATCTACAACGGCTTTATCAAGGACCTGGACGAGGTCCGAATAGGCGTTCTCAAGCATCTGGCGACCTTTCTGAAAATACTCAAGCCGAACGACCGGTCCCAATACCTCATGAAGCTGAAGCAGTTCCTCGCCATCGATAACATTTGGAACTGGAGGTATCGGGAGGAACTGGTCGCCCAACTGCTCGAGATGGTGAATCTGTTTGATCCATACGACGTCGAATGTTTCATCTTACCACTTGCGCTCGAGTTTCTAGGCGACAAGGTCGCCGCTGTCAGGCAAATTGCTGTCTCTTTGGTACGGATTCAATTTCATGGCAAGTTTACGGGGTGTCACAACCGACGTCACCATCACCGATATCCATTTCATGCTTTATTCCTTTACCCCTTTTCGATAGAGATGCATCAGCATTTTTTCTGATTAGATATTTCACTCAGGCTACTTGCCGTACTCTATCCCTAAGAGTATACCTACTTTCGAGGTACTTGTTTGATTTGATGAGGTAATTCGCTGCATTTAACCCGTACACACTTGGATGTGCCTTGTAACCGAATGAAACCGATGTTTCACGATGGTGTCGCACGTTCGTTCTTCGTTGAAACGAACGAACGACTACCTCCGGAATAAAGCATGAAGATATTCAGAATAATAACGTTAGGCGAAGCACTCCGTATATTGTTATTATCTAATTCCGTAACCTTTACATTGAGATCTGTCAACAGATAACGCATATCGTGTCCTACCTATCCAACAACGAACGGCTCGTCACGACGGTGTTCCAAGAACTCAAATGCATGCTAGGCGTTTACGCGCGTAAATGGGTAGGACGGCAGACGTACGCATACGTGTGCGCTCACTTGATAACGAACAACGCCATCAGCGGGGATAGATTCTCTAGGGAAATGTTACCCGAACTGTTGAAATTTTCCACGGACAAAGTACCGAACGTGAGATTGGCCGTGGCGAGAACACTTTCGAAAAATGTTACCCCCATGGGACGTAAGTATATTCTTGTCAATTATTCTTTTTCCCTTGTTTTCGATCGTCTCGAGACGTGCTCGAACACGGTTACCACACGTACGAATTCCGTGCTTTAATTTCTAGCTGGCTGGTTAGGGATCGAGCAGGCGGAGAGGGTGGCGATAAGGCTCAGAGAAATGCGCTCGGATCCAGATCGAGATGTTCGAATATTCGCCGGTAGCGACGAGGCGATTTAGGAACTTGTTTTAACGAACGCGATGCCGATAAGGGAGTCGTGTTCGAATTTCTCCTGCCATACGAAATAATTTTATACCGAACCGTCGAGAGGAAGAGAGAGAGCAAAAGGATATGCCGTGCGAGTGTTCTTCCGCGAGCGAATTCTCTGTAAACGTGGAAGAAAATTTAATTGAAAAGAGGGGAGCGCAACCCGTTCGTCGTCAGGAAGCGAACGAACAAAAATTTGCTACACAGTTTTTCAAGGGATATCGTGTATTTTACCTACGATGTAAAAACGAGCTCAACTTTAAACGGACAGAAAAGAGTGTACTATTTAGTGCAAATGAGATAGACAAAGCGCAACTCAACGTTGTCCACAGACCAAGGGACCGACGTTCTCCGCGCCCTCTAGACTAAGACAGATTACAAGTATCAATGGTCAAAAGACATTACGCAATTATATAAGAGTGAGTATGCGTGTCTAAAATGAGTTACGTATGCGTGTTAGTATTCGCGAGTATGTATGCGTCCACCATTGTGATCAATTTGTATATGTAAGTGGTCCCTTGGACAAAGCCGGATATTACTAACTCGGAGATACCGCATCGACGTGGTTCTCTTGTTCTTTGGTGAAATGGTCATAGCACGAACTCTTCTCGTCGTCGCGATAATTGTTGTTTCTCTTAAGCGTTGACTCGAATTTTTTATCGAACGGAAATATTGAAATCGCTCCTTCCAACGCGGGGGGAAGGTTGATAGTTTTACTTTTGTAACTTTGTACGCGTGTGGTTGGCTCAAGTGTTCGTGCTATGACGCGTGAACTTGTACACGAATATGCTCTTTTAAGTCGGGGAACCGCAACGCGAGAACTTTACGGTTCGACGTAGAACAAAAGAAAGAAAAAAAGAAAAAAAAAAACAATACTTACGCCGCACGATATTGAGATTCAATCATAATCGTGCGATATCACTGTGATTTTTGTCTACGCGAGAACACACGGACGAATGTGCACCGTTTCATGTAGATATGTTAACGTTTAATAATGTAAGTACGAATTTTTTCGCTGAGGTTTCAGAGTGTTTGGAATTACACAAAATCCCGAATCTGAGCGAACGTTTTCGAAAATTTAAAATTTATAAACTTTTCGTTTACACAATAAAGCTAGTTTGTAAGTAACGGAACGAAAGGAAAGTGAATGCTATTGAATAAACGATGTGTATGATGTGAGATTTTACGAGTGTGGGCACGCGAGCCGCAGGCAAAAGAAAGCAGATTTATTCGTTAAACAAAATTATACATTTGCGAAAACGACTGTTTCCACGCTAATGTTGCATATTGATAACGGTCCGTGATCGCTAAAAACTTTTTAACAATTATTGAAGGAACGAATTGTTACGTTTAGTTCACCGTTCGTGAAAAATGCGATTATTGAGCTACAGTACACTTCCTGTAAGCAACGAAAACTCGTTAATTGTGAATAGTTATGAGGAGAAAAGACGTTTTGTTTAAAATATTCTGTATAATATATTGTGTATTTGGTAGTGAAACGAAAAAAAATGTACATCATGCGATTTGTTATACAACTGTGTTATTATCATTCTCTTTGACAATGAACCTTTTACATGTTACAGACTTGAAAATTTTAAAATTCCAGTCTACAGTGTTGAAACAAAGAAAGAATCGATTGGTGAAAGCTCCCAACACTTTTTCCCTCCACACCGTTGCATGACTAGTAATAGAGTCGAATATATCGAAAATTTTTCTTTTGGATATTTGATTTAAGTATCGAAATATGCACCTTGAAACGCATAAAATTCAAGTCGTACGAGAGAAACTGGTCGAATCGAACAGGTGAACGATAATTGCAAATTTAAAGTCGAAGAATATTAATCGTTCGAAAACTTTTTTTTTTGTAATTACAGGGGCCGAAAATTACACGATGCTGATACAAGGTGTACAAGACGTTAACGGAAAAAGTAAGTCAAAGAATAAAGTGTTCCCGATTTTAGGCCTTGATCCACTAAACATTACTCCAAATTTATATAGAACCATATTTCTAATTCTTTATTTAATAATACTTATTGTTTTATATAAAACGCATAATATAAATCTTCTATATATGGGCATACAAAATTACAATGTAGAAGTACGCTAAAATAAATGTAGATGAACGTGTTTAAGGTTAGTTTACCGTGGATTCTCTTAAAGCATAGGGTATGGGCATTTCAATAGAACATAGTAAAACGTATTCAAACTATTAAATACATTATTTTCGAATTTACATTCCTCGAGAACAACTCGAAATTTGTATTACGGTGTAACGGATTGCAGTTTGGTACGTTGCGTTTGTATATTTCTCAGAAAAAGTTACTCACGTTTTGGCGGGAAAGATGAGAACGTCCACTTCGTCGTTAGTGCGGTTAGGTTTGCGGCGTGAGAGACGTTTTCGAACGAATCGTATTGTCAGTAGGAGCTTAAAATATACCGAGGAATTTTCCAGGCGGACAAGCGGGCAATTGGCAGGCCTTCTCCTCCATTTCGGTCTCGGCGGTGCTGCAATCGTTCAAGCAATACCGCCATCTGATCTGCCGACCCTTCCCGCAGGTGACGCTGCAGCTGCTCCAGTCCGTCCACCTGCCCCATTTGCTTTGCTGCTTTTGACTCTCTCCGCGAGGCGTTTCGGTCGCATTCGATGGCGTTCCGGCGCCACGTTCGTACGTCGACCGTCTCCTCGGTGAACTTTCTTTTCCCGCGTTAAAACGTTTACCCACGTCCGCCTTTCTCTCGACCACAGTTTTCGCAGCAGACGGGACGCATGTCTGAACGATTTTACGCGGTTCCTTGAAACCGTCGCAAGCGGTGGTAACGTTCGAGCATAAATCATCGATCGCGCGCGTCACGATTCTCTTCCCTCCTCTCTCGTTCCTTTTGGCCTCGTCGACGTTTAAATAACTGTCAAGCTCATTCACCTTGAAGGAAATTCGTTGTTAGTGGAACAAATGCGAATACTCGCCTTAGGAATACACGTCGATTTTACCTACTTTCGTGACCAACTTCTTCACCAGTTCTTTCACCTCTTCGATCGATCGTACCGTCCTTGTGCCTTGCTCCTTGCCTCGCGAACGCGGACTTTTCTCGCGACCGCCGCATCCGACAGTTTCTCGCTCCGGCTCTCGAATATCCTCGTAGTATCTCAATTCGTCTTCCCCGTTCAGGAAACCGTGATTCGCTTCCGTATTTTCGTCTCTCTTTGTGCGTAGCTTCGACCTGTCCACCGTCGATGCAATTGACTTTTCGTCTTCCGCCGTATCGGCCCTTTGGTCATCCGTGATTTCGTCCGATTCCGCCATGACGTCGTTGGCGCCGTTTCCTCTATCCGCGGCCAATAAGAATTCAGAATTATCACCGTTGATTTTATTCCCGTCGCCATTTGTCAATCTCGCGCGTATCGGTGAACGATCATCGTCGTAATCGGCTCTTACGTTCGATTCTTTCGATTTTGCGTATCTACGGCGAAAATTGTTGTCAATAGTTTTCTTAGACACTACATTAGCAATTCCTACGTTTGATTTACCCCTGCGTTTCGATTCACTGTCTTTCCTTTCGCGTATCGATCTTGACCGATCCGTATTTTTCGAACGCGCGTTTTTCGACGAATCGTTGCCCTTCTTTTTCTTCCTATCCTTAAAACGTTTCTCGCGACGACTGTTCTTCGCGGTCCTCTTAAATCGCAGCAGGGCCGCCTTCAAATCAGCGATAGCCAATTTCGAAGGCTCTCTGCCCTTACTTTCAACGTTCAAATCCCTCGCAGCTTTTTTCGGATCCAGCATCGATCGTTTCTTTTCGTTCGATGTCTTCTCCGATCTGACATTCGTGTCTGCTGAAGTTTTTTGATCGATACGCGACAAAAACGAGTCAGGACGATGCAACGAAGCTTTCTCTCGTAAATTCCTTTTATTTTGAGCTTTCGCGTAATCGTTTCGTTTCTTTCTAACCAATTCTACCGCTAGCAGAGGATCTTCCACGTTTAAGTCTTGCGATTGTCGGTTTGTAACCGAAACCTTGTTCGCCTTAATAGCGTCAGATGGCGGGTCGATAGCTATTTCGGAGGGAAACGATTTTCTCTTACCAACGATAACATTTCTGGCTGATTCGTCGGTGTTAGGGGGTAAACGGATCATGAACGGATTAAAGTCGAGATTTTTCGATTCGTCGTTCTCGTCTTCTGCTTCCGGATTACTTAATTCGATGGATTTAATGGGTTCGTCGTTCGCTAAGAGTCCCTGGGACTTGATCTCTCGTTTCGTGTCGAATGAGACGTCGTCGTCGTAAGAGTTTTCATCGATCGATTCATAGGAATTACGAGGGAAGGAGTTAGCCAAATCTTTCAAATATTCTTGTTCGTTCGCGAACGACGAATCGTGTTTTGATATTAATTTGCTTCTTTTTACTCGTATATGTGTTTTCAAAGCATCGGAATCGTCAATATTGTTCATGAAAAGTGGTTCGTCGTAGTTCAATAACGTTTTCTTCTTTACGTTTTCCTTTTCACCGGCGTCGGTGGAAACATCATCGTGAAACAGGGTTTCCAAATTATGCTGTTCGTTGTCGGAAACGGCACACAAAGTTCTTCGTTTCCATAGATAATTCACACGGTCCAATTGCGATGCTTTACTCTTCTTTACAATTGTATGCGATGTGTGGTTGAAGGTTAGAATCGAACTTGCTTCGGTACCATAATTATCATCGACGTAATAGTTTATTACGTTTACAAAGGAATTTGGAACCAACGCATTCTCGAAATCGACTGGAATATTTGTTAACTTCTGTTTGTGCAATCTTTCTGATTCTTTCAATTCTTTGAACGTCGATGAATCGTATATGCGTGCGTCATTTAGGGAAACATATACGTCTTGCAATGCTTCCAATTGCTCGTAATACTGACGATCAATGGTACTTATATTGTTATAGTTTTTGATTCCGGTGACGGAAAAAATAATCACCAGGATCGTGAGAATCCAAACACCTGAATAAATTGAAAATTTCACCATCACACGCGTTCTTCCACGTTGTTTTATGTTACATCACTCGTTGGTAGTTCCTACATTACTTTTTGAAAATTAATGTTCACAAGGAACTGTTCAAATGATTATTGCGCCGGGTCTCCGCATACTTTAATCGTTTTGCTCTTATGATTTGATCGATATCGAGGACGTATCGAAATATTTGTGAAACACGTCAACTATCGACATTTCAACACTCTGAAGTTTATAAATATACGATTTGTAGGCACTAGACCTTCGCACCTTTAGGAAAAATTTTAATGGGAGATTCTGGAGGCCAAAATAAGACGATAATCAAGAATACCAATTTTCTGATGGAGGCCTCGTTAAAAAGTTATTAACGTTTAAAGTTCCGCCTGTAGAACGGCAATCTGCGAACAGCTGCCAGTGGTTCTCACTCAGAAAACTGTAAGGCTGTCGATGAGTCAGTAAGCAGAGTTTCTCATGCTGAGTGAGAACCACTAAAGCAGCTGGGAGGAAAATAGAATAAGGAAAAATGTAAAAAAGATTATGTGACTAATGTAAAAATGGAAAATATGGTCGCGAATGGCTGAGTATAAAGCACCAACGCATCCAACGAAGAAAAACTGAAACTGAAACAGTTGTAATTCTTGGAAACCGCCAAAACTTGTGCCACCTTTTCGAGTATCATATTCTCCCGATGCCAAAGCTCGAAATCGGTCGAAAATCCAAAAAGTTTTGTCCGATTTTTGAACTTTGTATCAGGGGAACAAGATGTCTGAAGAGGTGGCTCAAGTTTTGGCGGTTTCTAAGGTGTGACGTCATTTCCAAGAATTTTAGCAATTAGCATATTCAGGATTCCAGCAGATTTTCGAACTTTAATATCGTATGAGTATGATATCAGAAGTGGTGACACAAAATCCACGGATCCTTTGTAAATGACCACGTCCAAAACTTCTTCGTGTGTCGAACTATTTTCTCAATTGAACGTGCACCTTTAGGTAATCGGTGTCCCAACTATTCCGAACATACGTTTGTATTGTATTTGCAAATAGAGTGTTTGGTTTATGTGAAAAGAATTTAATGCATTTAATGTGTCTAATACGTATGATATAGTTATAATGAATTTCCTGATACCAGTACATTTATTTGCGTTTAGTTTAGCGGTAAGTAGCAAAGTTATCGTCACATAACCTATCGAACTTGCGTGATCGTGTTCAAAATATATATAACGTATTCTCAGGTAAATATTGCAATAGCCGAATTTTCAGCCGATGATTGTAGCAGCTTGGGTTTTAACAAAGCCAATTTACTTTGTTCCACATGCGAGGAATTTAGTAAATATGCTTTGTCAGAAATAAAGCAAGTATATACAAATACAAACAACGTAATGCGATGTTAATTTATTAGATAACGAAGAGTATTTAATGTGTTTATTAACAATTGCAGGGATAGCTGTAAAGGATGCTGTTTGAAAGACGATGATTACGATACATCTGGTTCGAAACGTTATCCGCGCGCCGTTCTTGAAGTTTGCACATGTAAATTTGGAGCATATCCGCAGATCCAAGGTAAAACAAAATATGTATATTACATACGTATCGATCGAAAGTAAGTACACCGTGTATACTATGTATTAATTTTTACTATTACAGCTTTCATAAAGAGCGATAGGCCAAGTAAATACAAAAACTTACAAATAAAGTATGTTAGATATTTAGATCCGATAATTAAGTTATACGATGCAGACAATAAAGTTGAAGACATTTTGGACATACATAAATGGGATACAGATTCTGTAGACGAGTTCTTAGCAACTCGTCTTTCTATGGATTAATATTACTTTGTAATAATTAAATACACTTGTATTTCAATGTGTTATGTATTTTCAATATAAATAACATTTCTAGGAATTTTCTAACCTCGTCGAATCAATAATCTAATCGTAAAATATTCACTACGAAAGGGTGTAGTAAAAAACACGATCCATTTGTAGTCTGTATATTATTTATTCGATACTTCCTACAATAATAATACAGAGAATCCAATATTGGAATGAGATTTTTAAAAATACGTCATTTTTTTTATTTTTTGACCGTTCCAGCGAACAATTCATTGTCCTTCGTGATCTTTGGACAAAAATTAATATAAAGACAATGAATATTGCATTACGTGTTATTAAGATACATTGCATGACGGATGTAGCTGTTTAATAGACCCAAATTTGATTCGTGTTAATTGAAGTACTTCATAGAATAGACGTACAAAGTATAAAGGCAATTGTCAAATAACTCGGTAGTGTTTATATCAATATTTTTACAACACATTATTTATCACGTAAAAGATATACGTCCTACAATAAAATCCTATCATCTTATCATAACGAAAATAAATCATTACGGTATCTTGTATTTATTACCACGAAACTTCGATTATAAGTGTTTTTATAACAACTAGGCATAAACTGGATAAAATATGTATTAATATTGTAATTCTTATTGCAAGATACTTTTGGATCATCTCTTAACAAATGCCTAATAAGAATAATAAATCTTATAATAGTTTCATGTTACGATTACTTTAAAAACCATTGACGTGTCTCAGTTACTTGAATATTGATAGGATTTTCCTCATACAGAATAGTTACAAGATACACGGGAGTATAGTTTCTTAATCTTTTTTGTTTTCCTTAATTTTAAATCTATCGTTCTGTTCAAGAATCTGTATACACTACAAATCTGTATACGTTCATTGTAAATAATAAGTAATAATTAAAACCTTCGATGTTGAATAAGCTTGGATAATAAATAATTAATATTCTCACGTTTACCATTGCGCGCGAATGGTATGCGAATGATTCTAGTACATTCAGTTCATGCGTGTAAAAAGTCAGTCATAAATATAACCTATTTACGACGTAGCAACTTGCCATACATTCTGCCGCGGTGAATAAAAAGTCCGATTACTTCAACATAAACGACTCGAGTAAACAAGATAAACTAGTGAAGTCTAACTGTTATATAGTACAAAATTGTATAATTGCGTAATGTATCCAAGCTTACCCCAATTTTGGAATAGAGATCACTTTATCGTCTGGCCCTTCGCGCTCGGGGTGTACCGCCGCGACCGCGAGCAAAACCTCGGCCACGGGTTAGTTTTATTTGCGGACTTTGCTCTCTGTCCAATTTCGGTGCGGGTTTCTCCTGTTCGACGGGCTCTTTCTCATCGCCGTCGTCGATCAAGTTACCTATTTCCGCATCATTGTCGTTGTCGATGTCAGCCCACATTTTATCGACCGGTGTCTTTTTCTCTTGAGTATTGGAAGTATTTAGGGACGACTGTTCGCTGCTGTTCTCAGTTTCATGATGCTCCTCCTCCTCGGATTCCGCGTCAGCTTCAAGCGGATCGTACTTCTCGTCTCCGTCGGGTTTTTTCTGCGCGTTTGCGTTCTCACTGCTATTTTCTTGCTCCTCTTTCGGTTCTTCGTTATTATCTTCTTCTTCGGAATGGGTCAATTTGCGACGCTTCCAATTTCCTTCGTACTCTTTATTATTTTCCGAAGAACTTTCGCTTGCCTACGGAGAACAAGACATATTAGATTGCTGATTTGTTAACGCTATATTGCAATTAAAATTTTGCTCGTGATTAATTATACCTCAGTCTTTTCCGTGGACTTTTGTTCAGCACTCTCAGGGGTGGAAGTTAGAGACTTCACTTCTTGCACGAAATTCCGGTAGTGAGTGATACTACGTAAATGAGCGTTCATATCATCGGCCAACAACATGAATCTTCTGCACTTTTCGCAATAAAATCCTTGAACTTCTTTCACCAAGGATTTCCCTGAAACAATACAAATGAACGAACTACTAATGATTCGATTGGAAAAGATACTTCAAAATGGTGTAAATTTTCTTCAACTACACTTACCTATAGAAATTTGATTCTGTCTGCAGTATTTATAGGATGGTACCTTGAACTTCTTCTCGCCCAAGTTTTCTGTAATATCCGTTATGTATTCTTGTTGTTCTCCGACAACAGCTTCTTCTTCCTTTTCGTTCTTGGTATCAGGACCAACATCTTTCTCTTCATCTTCGACGGTGCGCACTTCGGCTTCTCCTTTCGCAAGTTTTTCTGCGAGTCGATATAAAAATAAATCTTCGAGGACTTCCTTAAACGGGATACTCTTTACATACCTTTCTTCTTATTTTTCCGTTGCTCCTCGCATTGCACAGCTTTCTTCATGTGCGCAGGCGTCAGGCAATGTTCGTCGTATTCGATACGCGATGGGAATTCTTTCAGGCAAGGAAAACATCTTGGATGTAAAAATGTTTTCAACTGCTGATGCTTCTCGCTCTTTCTGTGCGTTGATAACGTTCCATAGAAATTCAAATCGCACATCGTGCAGTATTCTCTTACATTGAGATCCACGGAGACCTATCGACAATAAAAACATGTACGAGGTGTTCGTTAAGACATCAGGCAATTGAACATTTATATACTCACTTTTTTCCCACGACGTTTCGAATTAGTTAAACTAAGCTCGCGTTGCTCTTCCGCCACTCTCAAGTCGTGTCTCATCAGGTCGACTTTCAATTTGTACGATTCGTCCAGCTTTTCCATCATCAATTGATGCGCTCGTCCTCGTAAATGATTCTCGAAGGACTGTAGTAAATAGAGAATATTATAATCAAGAGTCGGTTCAAATGTAAATTATATAATGGACCGAAAATAAAAACGTACATATCCATCCCACATATGTTTGTTGCAAATATGACAAAACATGTGGCTCATTGGGACTTCCGCGTAACGACTTTCAGCATGCCTGGCTTCGGATTTCTTGCCGGTCATCTTTGAATCCTTCTCATTTCCGGACGTATTCGCATCCTTTCCTGCCTCGTCGGCAGATTTTTCCGTTTTTAATTCAGAATCGTCCGGGGATTTCTCAGATTCATCTAACTTAACAACAACTTGAACATTCTCGTATTTCTTCTTCTCGTCCTTCCATGCACGCTTCTTATCTTCAGACTCTTCAATTTCATCGCTAATATAGAAACAAATACGTAATTTTTATTATACCTACAGAGCTCAATCAACTTTACCATATATTTTTTTTTTTCTTTCTTTAAGTTGACTTTTAAATATTACATTTGTTTGATATCTTTTAGTAAAGGTACGTGTACACAAAACTTTCAATGTTTACAATCTAGAAAGAAATTGGGCATGATATTTATATCGAGTGAAGATAATTCACACTTCTAACAACCGGGCAAACAAATACTCAATTTACCTATTGTCATGAACAAATACATTGAATAATGTGTATTGAAAGAAGAGTATACAGGGCATAGTTTACACGATCATGAAACAATAGTGTTTATGAAACTGTAGCTAATCTAACTTAAATTTGAAATGTGAGTTTCATCGACAGTGAGGAGTGAACATATAACATACTATATAGATATATGTATATATATATAAATATGTATGTAGTTTCTTTAAAAATCTGATAAAGAGAAAGGGTACAATGCTGATTCTATAGCAATTATACTGTACATACGTAAGAAACACCGTACATACAAAGATAGGTGACAGAATGAGACTTACTGAAGTTTGAAGAACTATTCACAGTCACCAGGAGCTTACCTTTTTGCAACAGGTGCTTCTGCTTTTTCATTATCAGAGGTCTTAATGTCCTGCTGTTCCTTTTTGGCAGTCTGATTTTGTTTAGAGGCAGGAATTGGTTTAGAAGATTTATCGTTGCGATGTTGTGTTTGGTTTCCGTTCATACGCTGACTGCCAGACTGGGGTGCACGAGATTGTTGTGCAGATGGACCACGTCGCCCAGCAGGGCCATCACGGGCGCGATTGCCCATCTAGTCATGTAGGTCAAATGACCAAACCATCATGAGAAGTATCCGATATAATTGCGATTCTTCTCGAATCGAGCTTGGTTTTAACAACCACTGGGATTTTAAAGGGAGAAAATATTCTAGTCGATTCGGAAGCAGGACGTATTCAGTGTTTTAATGAACACCGAAGGTCTGTATTTCCACGTTTTAGTGGAAGGGGGGAAAGGACAGTAATAGTAGACAGTTGAAGATCCATAAAATCATCGCATCATCCACCTTTATACAGGCAATGATCATGTCGATCGTAAAACATGATATTTATAAAACACGTATACTTTCCTTTGAACATAGTTCAATAAAGCTCAATGAAAAATAATCAACAAGAAGAAGACGTTAATCAGTGAAAAAATGCAGCTTGCAATCAATATTTCTGACTAACGTTCTTCTATCAATTTTGGCTGTAACGACGAATAGAAGACTTGGATGAAATATAAATGAACCAAGTCAGAGGGATAATATATCTCCGTGTCTTTGCTGAAATATACTGCACAAAACCACAATTAACTTCCACCACTAAAAATGAGAAATTGTATTCTGAAATCAATACACGTCTTGTTACCGTGTTCTTTAATGAAATAGCATTGCGACGGTAATTAATGCTCCTACGAAAATCATGTGAGGCAAAACTAGTCCAGCAATAAGAACTGCTTACATCTTAGTAAATTTGCAGCGTAACCGTGTAGCGTCACATCCATTGACTGAAAGCCTCGTTAATGAATTCATCAATGAACATTAGAGGAATTTCAAATTTTCAGATTAAGGACTGGTGTTGTTGATGCAAAATAGATGTGTGGACTAAAGATTGCCCTTTTACAATTTCCATTAGTCAAATGAATATCGTTATATATTTGTACCTTGTTGTATGGTTGAGGCCGTTGGTTCTTCATTGGGTGCCTTACAGGACGATCGTTAAAACGCCCTGACTGAAAGCTCTGCTGGTTTGAAAAATTCGGTCCTGACCCGGAAAAATTATTGCCAAGACTGAGCAGCGACGGTACCTGCTTTGCAACGCACAATTACATGTTTTATTATTTAGACGCTAAAGATCGCGAATCGCATTACCTTACGGAAGAAAAATATATTTTACCTGTGGCTGTACATCTTGTTGGCTGCGAAGCAAATTTGTAAGGAGATTACTGGCAATTGCTAACTGTGCTTGAGGCGACGCTAAAGACAGATTATTATTCGGTGTTGGTAAAATTCCTCTGCCAGGCATCATTCCACCTTCCCAGGGATTCATTCCACCACTTCCACAGCTGTTACCTCCTCCTCCTCCCATTCCACCACCCATGCCACCACCACCTCCACCCATGTTACTAAGTCTTCCTCCTCCACCACCTCCAGCACCACCGCCACGATTATTGAAGTTTCTATTCCCGAAGGAATCTCGCTTTATTCCTCGATTGAAGGACATTGTATCTAAAAAAAAATGAAATATGATGAAACATTTGATAATGTTACGGTTAATTATAAAAATTAAATACATGATTTTTTAAATGCATAACAAAATATTGGCTGGATCTTATTTTCCAAAAATGATATTAATCGTATAAACGTAGTATTAAAAGACGTATTATCTCATTGTATGACCTCACGAAGTCTTAGCACTGTGCATTTTTAATTTATAAATGGAGTATGAAAGGGCGTCTATTTCCGACATGAGACGTTAAAAGTCTTTCCAGTAATTTAACCCGTTGAGTTTCGGTGTAAGAAATGTAAAAAATACGTAACGTACGTATTACATATTACATGCATAAAAAATATAGATACGATGTTTAATAAAGGAGGTAATCAATCGTAATTTCTTTGATTAATGTTTTACATACCAAACGACGCCGTACAATATAACTATTAAATTTCAGAAACGTCTACTGTTGCACAAACTATCCTCCATATTGTGCCAAAATGAACGAGATAATGTTTCACAACGTCAAACATATAATTTCACCCAGTTCGAACATAAAAATAAGATATTACTTACTGGAAAAGTAGCAAGCTTGACCGTAGCACAAGAAAATGAGGCACAACGGAATGCTCAAGGAAATGGAGTCACTAAGCGTCTACCGTGAACGCGAACCATAGAGTAATAACCAGAGGCGACACTTCGCCAGTGGCGCCAGATTGAGCACCGGGTGCACTACTCACACTATGCCGGATCACGCGTACGTGAGCTCGTGGAGTTTCGGAGAGCCGACAAAGGCAAACTGACGCATGCCCCCTTTCTCGATTCTCCGAAGCTGCCCGAAGTAATTTCGGACCGCCTCGTGGGAGTCGAGAGAGGAAGGCTCATTTGCCTTCTCGCACTTGAACAACTGAAATTTTTTATTTTCCGACTTATGTATGTAGACGAACATAAGCAAGATACTATAATGAACAAAATTTTGTGAAATTTTTCTTACGGAAATACACGTTTTATGCCCCCTGATCATATTTGAATTATTGAAAAAAAATAAATTCATTTTTATTATTCCTATATATGAGCGGACATATCACATCTGATACATCTGGCAACGTATAACAATTACAACTGACTTCTGCCAATCACTGCTGGCCACTGCTGACCCTTGTTAACAACTTCTGCCATGACATATACGTATTAAAACATTGTAAAATGTAAATCTATGGCAATAAATGATATAATTACAAAGAATTCTATGTGTTCTCATCATTTTTTACCTTTCTTTTCCTCTCCAAATCATTACCTTAGTTTTAAGAGACCGTTCTTCCGGTTAGAATTGGATTCCTAAAGTGTCCAGCTCTCGTACTTGCTGCCGAAGTAAAAAATTAAAAGTCCTGAAACAACTGGAAAGTCCTGAAACAGCTGGAAAGTCCTGAAACAGCTGGAAAGTCCTGAAACAACTTGGAATTTTGGAAATCCCGAACCAGCTGGAAAGCCCTGAAACAGCTGGAAAGTCCTGAAACAATTGCAAAGTCCTGAAACCGCTGAAAAGTCCTGAAACAACTTGGAATTTTGGAAATCCCAAACCAGCCGGAAAGTCCTGAAACAGCTGGAAAGCCCTGAAACAGCTGGGAAATCCTGAAACAGCTGGAAAGTCCTGAAACAACTTGGAATTTTGGAAATCCCGAACCAGCTGGAAAGTCCTGAAACAGCTAGAAAATCCTGAAACAGATGGAAAATCCTGAAACAGCTGAAAAGCCCTGAAACAACTTGGGATTTTGGAAATCCCAAACCAGCTGGAAAGTCCTGAAACAGCTGGAAAGTCCTGGAACAATTGGGAAGTCCTGGAATTTCTTGAAAACGCCGAAAATTCTTGGAAACCCTGAATTTTTAGCAAAGTTCTGAGTTTCAGGACTTCCTAGTGGGTTCAGAGAAACCAAGGAGTTTCAGGGAGTCTTATAACTAAGGTAATGATTTGGAGAGGAAAAGAAAGGTAAAAAATGATGAGAACACATAGATTTCTTTGTAATTATATCATTTATTCCCACAGATTTACATTATACAATGTTTTAATACATATGTATCATGTCAGAAGTTGTTAACAAAGGCCAGCAGTGGTCAGCAGTGGTCAAGAGTCAGTTGTCCAAGATCGAGAAGACAAATGTGAGCCTTCCTCTCTCGACTCCCACGAGGCGGTCCGAAATTACTTCGGGCAGCTTCGGAGAATCGAGAAAGAGGGCATGCGTCAGTTTGCCTTTGTCTACTCTCCGAAACTCCACGAGCTCACGTACGCGTGACCAGGCATAGTGTGAGTAGTGCACCCGGTGCTCAATGTGGCATCTCTGCACTTCACCGTTCATGGAGAATGAAATTTCTATGCACAATGCACGAATTGGCCAATAAAATTAGCCAGGTATGGCGTCACTGAAACTGAACAGTTCTGAACAGTCTAAAACCCTTAGTTAACGACCTCTGGTTATTATTTTGTGCATGAACTAGAAAGTCGAATGCCATGTTTAAAATGATCGACAAGAAACGAAATCTTTACTGTTAATTGGTCGATTTTACTCTCATACTGAGTACATATAAACGAACAAATTGTACGAAATTTTATCTTATCGTAGGGTAGTTAATACACTGCGAAGTTTAAATAATTATTAATGATTTTAAGGAGTAATCAGATAGCGTAGTAAGAAAATGTATTACGCAATATTCGAAAATCATACAACACGTATCAGCTATTAGTTTCTATGAACGATTCTAAAAAAATATAAAATAAATGATCCGTTTTCTATTTTTAGTTTAAATATAACTAATTCAAAAATTTCATTTAAATCGTTAGATTGAATTGTTCGTTACTTATTAAATTTGTTACTATATAAATAATACTTCAATGAAAACCCATCCATGCTTCCAATATACTTTGCCGACACCATAATATATGGGGTTGCGGTGCTGTTACACGTGTAATTCGTAATCAGCGTGTTAGCCTTTAAAATTTCGTTATATTTTGTAATAATTAAATACCGAAAGTGATTTCTATATCGATTAATCGATACCTCACTATTTTATGAAGGTATCCGTAATCAAATACATTGCAATACAATTGCACGTCATTTGAATAAAACTAAATATAAGAGAATGTAGTCGTTTTTTTTTTTGTAACAATGCACCGGTAATATCTGGTGCTGCGAAACAAAATACATGACAAACCGTATAAATTATCTAATGCTTTTAGAAATCAACTTCAGCATTTAACGGTGAATAATGACAAATGAGAAATCAGTTTCCTGCGGTCTTGACTTTTGCACTGTACCGGATTTAAATGATTGCCTTATTGCGGCAAGTTGGTCAAAGTAAGTCGTGAGAAACAAGAACAAGCGTGCATTTTATTTACGCACAGAAACGGAAAACTTATCGTTTACTATGTTTACAGATATGAATTTGTATGCATTCCTCTTGTCCATCCTCTGCTTAAAAGAGAATTCGTTTCTGGCGTTGCAAAAAAACGATCCGGTCCATTTACCAGACCAGACACAGTTTTATGCAGTTACGGTAAGTAAATTAATAAATACGCATACTTTCATAAGGAGATAATCACAATTTAATTTATAGATTGGAATAATTTAATTATCGGTAAACTATCGCCGCATATTAAGGTCGACTCAAAGAATCCTATTTTAAGAAAGAATAGCGAAGAAACACTGAACCAAGAGTTATCTTTGGCGAGCCATTTAGGCCTCGTGGGAATTACTTTTAAGTTGATAAAAGGGATAGAGCATAATGTGAATCTCGCTAGAATTATCTGTGATAAAGTATCGAGCTTGTGTAGCTTACAGGTACATTCATCGGCATAGTCTATTTATCGTGCGTTTATAACATACAGCATAAATTTCATTGTAGGTTTGGGTACAAATACCTATGGAAAATCCGATTATACAAGCTTATTCTTACAGAGAAGAAGAATGTAATTCGGTAGAAAGTCCGTGGGAATGGTGGAATGCTTTCAGAGCAATATGCGATTACGATAGGAAGCTGGGTGTTGTGTTACTCGTAAGTCACGATCTTCCAGAGCAAGAAGAGGTACTTTGAATAACTTTCATTTTCTCCATGTACGCGAAATCGAAAATTGAGAAAATCGAATTTAAGAAAGTTAATTTTATTGCAAGATCGATAGATGGTTGGGAGAACCAGTTAGATGCTTGATCATTCCTACAACATTATTTATTACGAATAGAAAAGGATATCCTGTCTTAAGTAAAGCGCATCAAACGTTGGTAAAAAGGTTTGCCATGTTAGAGGTACAATTTATACTCACAGGCGCAAATCGGCATCAAAATATTAGTTATTATCACAATTATTTGGAGTACTTATGGAAGGTGAATTTTAAATTTGTTGTTTTTAAACTTTCGTCGAACGAAGACTCGTTTTAAGTAATTTCGTCTAATCTTTGTGATTTTACGTAGGGGTGTCAAACTAGCGGATCGGTCGAAAGATTTGCACGCGGCTATGAAGATTATTTACAGAGTCCTTTACAACCACTTATGGACAATCTTGAATCACAAACGTACGAAGTGTTTGAGAAAGATCCTGTTAAATATACAGAATATCAATCGGCTATCCACGAAGCAATTCTTGAAATTATGTCTAAAGCAACGACTAAAATTGAAAAAATGTAATGGAATAATACTGCAATAGCTTAATTGCGAAACTAAGCAAGGGAAATTAAGTTTACCTTTAATTTCAGAGTAATAATGGTGGTTGGTGCTGGAAGAGGACCGCTTGTTCACGCGTCTTTAAACGCGGCAGAAATGGCGAATCAACCAATTAAAATATACGCTGTAGAAAAAAATCCTAATGCAGTATTAACGTAAAATTATAATTGTTTTACATCACATATTTGATACGTATGAATGTATTTGTTTAAACTGTTACGTGTACAGTTTACAGGCACTCGAAAGAGATAGTTGGGGAGACAAAGTAACGGTTGTATCGTGCGATATGAGGAAATGGAATGCTCCTGAAAAAGCTGATATTCTAGTATCCGAGTTGCTTGGCTCTTTTAGCGACAATGAACTTTCCCCCGAATGTTTGGACGGAGTTCAACAATTTTTAAAAGGTATACCCCTATTATATTAAAACTATTGCCGGTCAAATACTGTAATTGTTATTTTTATTAATTATATGATCGTATCAGACGATGGGATAAGTATACCGTCTTCGTACACGTCGTACATCTCTCCCGTACAGTCTTCAAAACTGTACAACGAAGTAAAACTCTGTAAAGATAAAGATAAACATATGTTAGCTCATTTCGAAACATCTTATGTAGTCCATCTTCAAAATAAATACGACATAGCAAAACCGCAGCCATTATTTACATTTAAACATCCAAACAAAGGTTAGTAGATCGGTAACGTTCATGTTCTTATTGCTGTACGACAAAATTTTTCGGCATTAACATTATTGTTTCAGACAATATCGATAATTCAAGATTCGAAACAAAGACGTTCGATGTGCAACAAAATTGCGTGTTACATGGCTTTTCTGGATATTTTAGTACAGTTTTATTCAAAAACATTACGCTCAGCATAGAACCTAGCACACACAGTCCTGGAATGTTCAGTTGGTTTCCCATTTTTTTTCCAATTAAGGTAAGGAGAAAAGTACGAAATGTTTATAAATATTTTTAAAACTAATACGACTTGTAATAATAGGAACCAGTACAGCTGAAAGCAGGCGATCAAATAGTCCTTCATTTTTGGCGTCAATGTAGCCCTAAGAACGTGTGGTACGAGTGGTGTATTAGCAAACCTATTCCAGGACCAATTCATAATCCAAACGGTCGTTCTTATACTATAGGTTTATAATTTAATATATTTGTGATTCAGCTATTTTTAAATGATATTGCTATTAAAATATACCTTTGTAATATGACTATGACAAAAATTCTGTTTAATGTTCCTTAACCCCTTGCACTATTTTCACGAGCCCGACTCGCGATGAAAATTTTAGGCCAAACTTTGATACCACGAGTCGAACTCGTAAATATCGATATATCGTGTTTCAAGTACCGATCATTAGGGCGTATGGGTTAGGCACGATTTCTTCTGAATTTCGGAGTAGTGCAAGGGGTTAAAAAGAAAGAAAGATTCGACGTACTGATATTTTTTGCAACACGGTAATTTCCTAAATTTGTGTATAGCTACCGAAGAACATTTTCTTTCAAAAATTACATACGTGCAAATGTATGTAATGATGTACGAAGTAGTCGTGATAGATCGAAATATATTTAAAGTGGCGGCGAAACTTAATATCAGATAGCAACAGAAGGAATTGGTTAAGAAAGATACAACGTGTGAATAGACCAGTAAATGTTCTTAGAATAGAATGTCACGTTTTTCTCTGCCGATTATTCACATTGAACCCCGGAGGTCACCGATATTGTACAACTTTGATAACATAAAATCATGAGCGTGGTTTCTACTGACCTTTTAACCTCACGTGATCGATCCCGGGATTTCAATAACATTTAATATGTTTTGAAATTGTTGAAAATCTACGATCTCCTAAATCACAAACGGATCTCATTCGTATATAAGGATTATAATTTTTGTATCGATATAATCTGTGCACCAAATGTATATTTATTTGGTTTCCATGCATTTTATTTTAAAACCTGCATTTTTTCAATTAAGTTCTTTTTATACAGGGTGTTCGGCCACCCCAGAGAAAAATTTTAATGGGTGATTCTAGAGGCCAAAATAAGACGAAAAACAAGAATACCAATTTGTTGATGGAGGCTTCGTTAAAAAGTTATTAACAATTAAATTAGAAAATTTCAAATCGTTCTAAAAAAATTATCTTCGGTTGCGGGGGTCAATTACAATCATTTTTAGTCATTACACATACCTCCGAAATCCTATCCAATTTCGAGAAAAAAATTCGAGAAGGGCTGAAATTTTTCGACGGGAAAAAAATTTTTCAAATCGTTCTAAAAAAATTATCTTCAGTCGCGGGGGTTAATTACAATCATTTTTAGTCATTACACATATCCCCGAAATCCTATGCGCTATTATCTACGAAGTAGTTTATTCTTCCCCGAATCCGGAGTCGAAAATATGAAATCCAAAATGGCGACGAGTTAGAACCGTAAACCCTGTATATAAAACCCTTAATTTGTATCCTTACCTTACAATTATAAATAATAATTTCTAAAATTGTAATTTACAAGATTATTATTTACGTGCAATTTATTAAAACGTGTATTCCTGTCGTATTGTTACAACATATTAAATAATCTTAATGATTATAGTAAATAATACACTTCTGGAGCCATAAAGACGTTGCTGAGATTAATTAATGTATGCGACGTTATTTTGTTACGTGTTAGTTGAAATTACACGGTGATGAAATATGTTCTACGAGATAAGAGTTTGATAATGCAAAAAGCATATGCTGCTTCATAGTGATCTTTTACTCATCCATTCGATTCGCGCCTTTTCGATTGCTTGGCAGCACCACGGAAAATTTACGAACCCCGTCAGAAATTTATATATTGCAGACGACACGAATAGTGCGAGGTCGGTTCGTTTATTGTGGCCAGCCCAGTGAAAATAAAATTAAAAATGGTAAAACTAGTTGTACAAATGGCTAAGTACACCGCGAGAACATTCTCATATATTTCGAAAGACAGTTTGCTCACTCCTCCCGTTTCGAAAGCGTCCTTATGTCTCTCACGTTCGATTGCTACATCTCGATGTCTCAATGCCGGTAAGTTTGAATAATTATTTAGCTTAAAAGCTTAAAAAGAAGCAAGCACTTCTAATAACATTCTTAACAATCAACATTTTAATGTTCGCTATAGAATTCTTGATACTTACTTATTAGATACGTAGTGGTTACATAAATCTATGATGAATTTGCCTGTGCATGGAATTAATTGTTATAAACTTTTGGCTGACACTTAATAATTTGCACCTGTATTTTTCAATTTTCAGAAAGATTATACACGAAATCACACGAGTGGATAACAGTGGATGGCAATGTGGGCACAATTGGAATATCCAATTATGCGCAAGAGGCATTAGGTGATGTTGTTTATGCTCAGCTTCCAGATGTTGAATCTGTAATACAAAAAGAAGGTTAGAACATTCATGCACAGATCTCTTAGCATAGAAAACTTGGTACATTCCATTCTATTTTATGTGAAAATTCATTTTTACAGATGAATGTGGAGCATTAGAGTCAGTGAAGGCTGTATCCGAGTTACTTAGTCCTGTAAGTGGTAAGGTAATAGAAAAAAATGAAATAATTGAAAAAACACCCGGTTTGGTAAATTCTTCTTGCTATGAGAAAGGATGGTTGTTTAAAATAGAATTGAACAATATGGATGAAATCAAGAATTTAATGGATGAGAATGCATATAATTTATTTTTAAAATCTGATCCGCACTAATTATGTTTTAAACAAATGCAACGTTGTTATTTAGTCATAGTTTAATTTTCATCGCCGTGAATTATTTTTAATGAATAAAATGAGAAAAAAAACGAGTTCGAGTAAGAATAGCATAATATACAGGGTGTTCTGCCTCTCCTGGGAAAAATTTTAATGGAAGATTCTAGAGGCCAAAATAAGACGAAAATCAAGAATATTGAATATGAAATCAATTAAATTAAAAAATTTCAAATCGTTCTGGAAAAATTATTTTCGGTTGCGGGGACCAATTACAATCATTTTTGGTTATTACACACACCCCCGAAATCTTACGCAATTTCTAGAAAAAAATTCGAGAAGGTGTGGAATTTTTCGACGAAAGAAAAAAATTTCAAATCGTTCTGGAAAAATTATTTTCGGTTGCGGGGGTCAATTGCAATCATTTTTGGTGAATAGACATACCCCCGAAATCCTACCCACTTTCCAGAAAAAAATTCGAGGCGTGGAATTTTACGACGAAAGAAAAAAATTTCAAATCGTTCTGGAAAAATTATTTTCGGTTGCGGGGGTCAATTGCAATAATTTTTGGTGAATAGACATACCCCCGAAATCCTACCCACTTTCCAGAAAAAAATTCGAGGCGTGGAATTTTACGACGAAAGAAAAAAATTTCAAATCGTTCTGGAAAAATTATTTTCGTTTGCGGTGGTCAATTGCAATAATTTTTGGTGAATAGACATAACCTCGAAATCCTACGCATTTTCGAGAAAAAAATTCAATACGGGTGGAACTTTGAACGTTAATAACTTTTTAACAAAGCTTTCATCAACAAATTGGTATTCTTGATTTTCGTGGTATTTTGGCCTCTAGAATACCCCATTAAAATTTTTCCCAGGGTTGATCGAGCACCCTGTATAGTAAGTATATTATTGCACGTACAAAAAGTGTTTTTTTATGCAAATTGTGTATGCACAATTTTGTTGCGAGAGATTAGAAAATGTGCTTAATTTAATATATGAGGTGTAACGCGCGATCATTGTGAATCAAGAATATGAAGCTGAGTGCAGTAGTTAACTGATGTCTTTATTAACCACTGTGCATTTTCTTATCTTGTTATCATATTTGTACAAAGCAAACAAATGTTTTAATATACATGTTATTCGGTATACGAATGATACCATTGTTGTTACAAATTATAGTAAACTTTGTGTTGTACATAAACGCATTTAAATTATAATAACTTGTGTATATAAAGAAACGATTGAATGTTTTGAAATACTATTTGTAAATTTCGGAAAATTGTCTGCTTAGTTATTTACATAGTACCATCCTGTACCCTCCTTTCGAAATCTATCGTACGTCTTATGGACATTGTACATATTTTACAATAATACCAAAGACGGGAGTGCAATAAGGGAAATATTATTGTTTAAAAGGAGTTCAATCAGTATAATATATAAAAAATAGCACTGTAAATCCTAAAAAGGAACAGTTATTAGTTAATAATAAAGATATATTTACAATCAATTATTTTTTTTCTACATAATTTACAATTGCCAACTCCTAATGGCAGTGTTAACAACGCATAATAGTTCTTCTTTTTAATGTTAATTCCAATTATTTATTGGAGCAAAAAATCACATCGATATTAAATTAGATTATTTGCCAATTATAATTGGTAACTGTACATATTTAACACAATGCTTATTACACCAGTATTATCGTACTTTCTAGTTACAATTATCAATAAACATGTTGTAACAGAATCGAGCGGACGATTAAATAGGATGGACACATACAAAGATCATTGATTTAGGGATATATTTAAAAAGAGACAATTTTCGTTTTTTGAATTACTTGTGTTTTGCGATTTTTATAAGTTGTTCCAAAATTATCAGACCGACACGTTCCACAAAAAGTCTCGAGGATAAAATGAAATTACAATAAATAATGTATTACGGTTTCAACTGGTTTTTACCCAAACAGCAACATGGGATTAAGTGTAGTTTCAAAGCTTCGTTGGTAATTATTAAATTTCGATTCAGATATATTATACATATCAAGTACACGTATAATCTAATTTGGAATAAACATAGTAATAACTAAGATAGTAACATGGAAATATAACAGGGTTCAATACTTGAATGGAACTTTACATTCTGTCGTTACGCATATTACAGAAGTCGTAGACTTCAAGTCTACATAGGTAACATTCATACATTCCATTTAATTTGCTATCTGGGTGTCTATTCTGAGGTATGTGGTTTACTAAAAATGTAAAAATGTAAGACTTAATACAGTTACAAAGAGGTAGACATTCATATGCGAGTTAAATAAAAGTAAATCCGTTTTGAAAGTGTTTGAGAGAACGAAAAATGGCCAATGGCAATGCAAACTGTCTCCGATCGATCGATTAAAAAGAACCAGGCGATTTGAAAATTTGGGAACACGTTGAATACAATTTTTTTTGCATCTATATCGAAGATTTTCAAAAATTTTACCGTGGACACAAATCTTTACTCACACGATAAGTACATGCATGCTTTCGAAAATATATACGTATATATATTATCCCGTGGTAGTAATACTCGCAGCTACTCCAACTGGTTTGATTCAACACTCGATTCTTAACCTAATGTGGCATCGAGTTTTCATTTTTTTTTTACTTTTTTTTTTACTTTTTTTTTACTTTTTTACATACATCAACAAATTGTTTACATCTATATTTAATCTTATTACGAAGTCAGTGGAAAAGTGAAAGTAGTAAAATAGCATTTTTTCCAGGTACTTCTTTGATAGAGGATATAAACAGTAGGAGTTGCAAAGGGTGGTACTACCAGCCTACCAGTACGAGCAAAGATTTCTGTTCTTGTTACCACACTTGAGCCTCGAATCTAGCACGTGTAATTACCGATGGCTTAGATACCACAGGCGTCGAAAAGACAACCTTCACAGCACTGAAAAGTTTCTGACTATTGACTAAACAATAATAATCTATTAGTGAAAAATTACTACATTCGATCGCTATCTTAACATTCAGTAAATATTTATCTATTTAACAACTGCGATAAGACAATATTGATCTTATATACTTAGTAATAATTGCTAGATAATGTAGGACCACATAAACCTTGCTCCAATGATTCTTTTATTTCTTAAACAGAATCTTTATTATGATACAATATACAGTAATAAAATATCGCATTTTGTGGTTATTTTTTTTTTCCGCCACCTATTTGAAAAAAAAAGTAATAAAGAGAAAAATACATGAATAAGAATTCTAAAATTAGTGAAGACATTAAGTAGCTAATGATTTTTTTCTCAGTAAGCAACAGAAATATATTTATTTTATTAAACTATACACAAAATATTATAATTACATATTTAACATGATTCATACTTTACAACGTAATTGGAATGTGTTAACTAGTATTTACAATATAGTAGCCCTGCTGTGTGCAAGTGTGACAAAATGCAGATTTTTTATAGGAAGTTCTAAGGATGCCCAGGTGGCCGTGCGACATATATGTATATATAAGTATATCACATGAAATTTTTACTGTCGTTCAAGTATGCCCATTGAATCCCTTGCAAGAAGCACGAGTTGACTGGAGAGTCGGCAATTATTTTTCGTTTCGTTACTATTAGGATATTTATTTTTTTTTTTTTCTTTTGTTCAAAATGAGAGCAAGGCTTCAGTGGTATGCTTAAAAATAATCGCTTCTAGTATTAGAAAAATAGCTTTACTTATTTAGACAAAAGTTGCCTGCCCTTTGACCAATATTTTGTTAACCACCCTTTGTACTGTTTTCAAGGCATCTTGCTTACTGTTTCCCTGCGCTTGTACCCACCAACAGGGGTAGTAATTTCTCCATGGATACATCTCTAAAACTTCAACATCAAATATAGAAAATATATGTCATTATGTTTATATATTTAGATACACGTTATAATACATATATTATGTATATATGTAAAGTATGTACGTCTATACTTGATTTGTTTGCATAGGTATTCTTTGAACCAGGGCCCCTAAACTTGGTCCAATACCTAAGCAGCGTTAGCTCTTAGTAGGTACTTGAGGTCCACTTTGACAGTAAGGGGCTCTATCGTGATTTTTGAGATATAGCAACAGACTAACTCATGGCAAACACGCCAAACGAATTTATCGTTTCATTTTCTCTTAGCATGGAGCATTTCCATGAGAAGAGTTTGAGTTGGTGCTCCGCCGCTACAGTGCTTCTGATAAAGGTGATCTTCTCCCCTGTTCGCTACCGCATGGATTTCTGGTAATACTGCTAGCAGCTTGTTGAATTTATCCTGATCGTGAACAAATTTTAAACGTTTCCATCAAATTAAAAACAACACATTTTTATATCATAATATACAAAAAATGAAATATACCGTTACAGATGGATAACATGTCAACGTGTAATCCAAAAGGGCTTGTAAGACTTGCTCGTGACCTTCTTGTACATGTTTCTTGTTAACTAGTCCACGAACATCTACATATTCAAAATACAAATTTTTTAGAATCTTTCTTTACCGATTTATAGATATAGTGATTTAACGAAAGTTTAAGTAATAAAATTTACCATGATTGAGCAGCATCAGGAATTTCATGCATATGTAGTCCGAGAGGTCGAATTTGAGTTCCTGAAGTTTCGACGACAATTCATTGAAAATTTCTGCCAGGGAAGGAACTCCAAGTAGGCCGAGACAAAGGAGATCAAACTTTTGGCCATTATGAAGCGTAGTCTCATCGGGTAGATTATTATGTAACCTTTGATGAAGATGGTCGAGCACCAACATATCCGACCAAGAGTGCTGTAGCAACTTCATTTGGTCGTCAACCTGTTGAACAATGCAATATATCGTAAGAAACATAAACAGTACATCGCCTGACATTGCAATAAATAAAGTTACATCCTTCGATTTTCAAATAATTTCCGATTTGTAATTTAAATAATCAGCAAAACGAATCTCAGCCGCGTTCAATGAAAAATATATTCGAACGATAAAAATCGGTATAAGTTTCACGATGTGTAACTCGAGAAAACATCGTGACGATGTATTCCATATTGTTCGAAAAATAGAAAAATCTACGATTCGAAATTATTACACGTCTTTTCGTGCATTTGCAGGAAAAAAAATAATAGCTGGAACCAAAGAATCGGTTAGATAGACGGTTTATAATTAACATGGGCCTGCTTTAGGGCAACCGCCATAACCCAGAAACGTATCTTGTTATGACCTAGATATGAGGCGATGCTTGAAATCATTCAGTGATTGTGCAATGCTGTTGGTTACCTCACATCCCCGCTCGTACCACCAACAGGCCAGCGACGAGTTATTTATCGGTAAGAACTAACTTCTCTTGAAAAGATTCTCACCGACGATTAACAATCGTTAAATTTTTATAGCTCGGTAATACTTTTTTTATCGTTCCGTTACCGACCGTTCAAACGTGTCAGAAAAAGAAATCGGATCACCGATCGAATCCACCGAAAAACGTATTAGAAAATCGGTGAGAATTTACTAAAACGGTAACAAACGCTCTTTGCGGACTACCCACGCTCGATGACGCGCTACGTAATATATTTATCAATGTTGTCGCTAACCTTGAGATCTTTGAAGAATACAGAATTCCTTGCCCAATCCACCTGCGAGAACAGATTTTGATCAAGCACTTTGCACATTAATTCGAACAAGTCCACTTCACACTGATTGTACGTTTGGTTTTGCAACAGTCCAAAAAGGGACGCCTGCCACTCGCGGTCGTCGACCGATTGCACGAAGTCTCTTATCATCGGACTAGTTTTCAAGGCGGCGGTAGAGGGCGCGGAACCAGCGGCTCCCTGAGGTTGCGTGGACTGTTCGCCGAAGTTGAAGGCCTTAGGACTGGGGGTGGTGGAATTGGCAGCCCACAGCTTGCTATCCAGGCCAGGGTTGAGGTTGTGCAGGTGATTACCGCCAGAAATGTTTGGCTGGTAGGACGGTGCGATCAGTTGATGCTGACCAGCTCCGCTGCCAGCCTGTGTCGTGACCAGACCAGCGGCCACGGCTGCGGGGGATGGACTCGAATCTGGAGAAGACGTTAGACTCGAGACCTGAGGTATTTGGATCTCCTGTTTAATATGCAGGAAAGGCGTTACGGCGGAGGGATAGTTCGATGGATCACCGAGGCTGCCGCGTATCGTTTGCAGTGCCAGCTGCCGTTGTCTCATCATTTGCAGTTTCCGCGCTCGGTCTCTCTTGTACATGGGTCCGAATTTGTTCCTACCGCCTCTCATCCGGTCCGCTCGCACGGCTGTAACAGAGAAACACACGTGCAATGATTCAAATAACATTTTATTCGATATGAGACGGTTACCTAACCTAACCCGTCGATCGTACGTTACGAAGTACCATGGAGGGAAAAGGAATCGTCGTGGTTGGTCGGTTCGACGAACAGAATTCTTTCCCTAGATATATTCGGTCTGTTTTTTAATTCCTTCTCAATCCGTAGTCTCCGCCAGTATCGCGATCGAAGCGACTGGATTAACATACCGACAGTCCAAGAAACGTGTACCGACAGAACCCGGGGGGGGGGGTCATAGTTTCATGATCGAACAAAGCAGCCGCCAGCGGGTTAACCTTGAAGTGGCAGTATTCGAAGTTCGCCATCGACGTAGACGGAAGTCGTGGCCGATGGAGTACAGTAGGACAAAAGCCCGACGCCAACCTGTAACCCGTCCCGTTTCCGTCCCAACTCCGCGTCTTTCGATCGGCGATCCCGTGCGATCGAATAGCTGTAAAACATGGATCTCTGCCTACGAAAGCTGCAGGTGTTATTTGGCACGTTGAACGCGTCGCCATTGAAAGCGAATGTAGCGACTGCCAACGCCGATTATTTATTACCCGCGATTAAGTGCCTGGGAACAACCTGTTAACATGCTCCGCATATTCGTTGCCTGACTAATATAAATACTGATTTTAAAAAGCACGGTTTCGTTGCATCGTTCCTATATAAATCGGTTCGGAATAAGTTTTACGCGACGGTCGGGGGAACGCCGCACGGCGGGGGCTTGCACAACGAGTTAACGGAACCGCCGCGGTGAAAAATACTTAAAAATAAATTTGGTATCGTCGAAACGGAAAGGTTGAATATTTACGCCCGCGTCTAAGTATTACTGCATCTCCGCGATAACGTTCACATTGTAAACAAAGGGTCCCCAGATGTGTGGTCCCGCGGCCGGAAGTGGCCTAGCAGAGGAACTCGATACGGATCCCCCTCGTTTCTGCGAGAGGGATTAAAATGCGCGGCAGGCGCGTATTAAGGATCCAGACCCTCGAGCAGCGAACATTTCACGAATTTTAACCAACACGGAGATCGAAAAATCTCCAAGAAATAGGGCCATTGCCTCGACATATCGACTGTGTCCGTTGATCCCCTCTTTTCGAGACGGCAGAATAAAATATTAGATTTTGGAACAACGTACGGGGAAGAAAAAATGATTTCGAACATTTATTACATCTTGGACGTCTAACAGAATTATCTTCCCTCCCGAGGAGCGTTCTATTGTACTATTCCGGAGATGATAACCCTAGATCCCCAGGGTCACGGAGTAATCGAGGGTGGATTTCGAGCTGTTTACAATTTATAGGGCGGACACGCGGCTAAAACGGCGGCGTTGCCTATTTTCGTACGAAGTGTTTGCTATCCGTCGTCACATGAAACACCGGCGAACGAGCGAGCGAGCGAGCGAGCGACCGAGCAAGCGAGCTAACGAGCAAGCGCGGTGCGCGCTCGTTGAAAGTGAAAGGAGGTTGAATCGCTTGCCCGTCCACTTCTGCCTGCGCCGCCCCGCCGAGGGAAGGAGGGCCACCCCTCTGTCCCCCCGACACCTCCATCGATACCACGACCACCCCCTGCCCGCCTCCTAACCCTACTTATTCCCTTCCCTCGACCCTACTCCCCCGAACGCCTCGCCCCGCCGATCCACATTGCCGCCTCCGCCGCCCTGTGTGTTGTCTGCTTACGCCTCCTCTCTTTTTCTCTTGCTCTCCGCGGAATCCCTTTGATTTGCCCTTTTCATCTCCGTTTCTCTCTATTCTCTATCGCTCTTTTACGTTTTCGCCTTTCCTTTCGTCGCTTCTGCCGCGTCCTTTTCGATCCTTCGGCATCACGTCGCCGCCGTTTCCCTTCCTGGCTCTACTCGCGTATTCCACGTAACCGTGGCCACGACGCATCATCGTAACATCACCTTACCATCGCAAGTATCAATCCCACCATCGTTCCTCCTCCTCGTCTCCCCCGTTCCACGTTCCTGTTTCATTCGCGATTGTTACGACCTAACAGTCCAACCGCGTCCAGCAGACACGTTGTCGCCAAAATGGTGGCGCCGCGAGCCCAGACCAGAGCCCCGGAGACTTCTTGTTTCAATTGTTCGGAACACTTCTACGGTTATTCGGACGCGAGTCGAGTGCTTAACCCTCGCGATAGAGACCACAATAAGATTTAGGTTAGGACTTATCGGTTATTTATAGGTTAGGAATTACTTTATCCAATTATTATAGGTTAGGAATTACTTTATCCAATGTATACATTCTACTTTAATTTAACGAAGTGTTTTCGATGATTTGTGGGGACCAATAATAATAAAAAAATACTTAGGCATTAAAATTATAACTGAAAGAAGATATTCGAATGGCGATACAGTAGAACCTCGATTATTGTAAGAAAATAGTACTTGTAATTTCTGCAGTGATCGAGGTTCGTGCAACAATCAAGGTAACCAATCTAATAAGAAGGAGTTCCACTTACACAGATTATTTCCACTATCTATAATCACTACTACCAGCCATTTCCCCCTTCCAACTTTGCTCGTTGCTAAGTGACCATTCCTTCTACTTGTCAATGCATTGCGATGAACGATGCGCTCATACAATAATCTTATAGCAAGCTATTCAAATAATACTAGCCCTAGCCCAAAACACAACTCCTTTTCATCCGTGAATAAAATTTGCCTAACATTGTCGCCCAGCTACCCAATCACTCGAGCTGACGAAACGTGAACAGCAGTGGGGGTGATTCTGTTGCAAGTATCCCTAACGCAGATTGATGCAACAAGCGAGGCAATACTGCACTCTCGCGCGTCTCCAGTCGCGTTCATCTGCTGCTTCTCGGTTTCTGTACCGAGTGGCGGCCTCGGTGCGTATTGTAACGACCTGAAATTCATGGCTGCGCGCGCTTAATGCTCGCGTAAACTTGACACTCGTCGATGCATACGTTTCTCGAACTCCGCCGCGCTCTTGGTATCCAACATCTGCCGTCGGTTCTGACGAACGTTATGCAAACCGTCATACATCATCCGTGGATCGCGCGCGGAACTTATCGTTCTACTAGGCGTTCGCATTCTCGTTTCTCTCTTCCCGCAACGCGCGCCGCCCAGCGACTCGACAAGAATTCAAACAATAGTCGAGCGAGCCAATAACGAAAGTTGCTAAACTTGACTTTCAGGTTGTTACTTTCGGCCACTTGTTCGCGATCGGACGTTGTTAATGCCACGCAACAGGCCGACTTATCGAACACGTGGCGCGATAATGTTTTTTTTTAAACCCTCGCTTTCTCCGTCATATTCAGTCCGAGATTTTTATCGCGTTCCGCTCTCTTCTAACAAAAAAAAAATCGGTATTTTTTTCGGCGCTCCGCTTGGTCTCCTTTCTTTTTTACGCAGCCGGGGTATCCATGTCCCCGGTGACCCTGCGTGTCTCGCGTCGTAACACGGATCCGAGGGAGCCGAACCGTCCAAGAAATTGTCCGACCAGGGGTGGATCACGTCTAAACTTGACTCTCAGCTCTGCACTCCAAGGATTTCTTTTCTCTCTCCTTAGTCACGTCCTACGATCTTCCCGAGCGTCATGATCTTTCTCCGTGGTTTTAGCGAGCGTCGTAGGTGTTCCGTTGTCGAGCATGCATCTTTCCGCCTTTAATTCGACGCCAGGTGCACGGAGGACTAGGAAATCGCGACGCGAATACTTCGAGGTTATGTCGCGAGCGAAGCCCACGCGTCCAATCGATGATTATTCGGTGAATAAATAAATACTATTAAATATCGATCTCTGCTTTTTAAAATCATAGAAATAAAAAAAATACTACTATCTATAGTTATGCGATATCTTGCATTCGATTTTATTTAGCCGTGAGGCGTAGATGGCTACGTTCTTGAACTGATTTTTCAGGATTCGCTGGTGAATATTTATCAGTATGATAGAATCTCGTTCGTTGCATTCGAGCAACAAGTAGGTTAGGATGCGGCGCAGGGCTTTTGAGCATAAGAGGGCTCCGTGACGACGCGGATGCTGCCATCTTTAAGAATAAACCACTTGCGCCGCCTGAATGGGGACTGAAGTACTACTCACTTCATGCCGCGAAAGAGGAAAGTCACCATCTCCGATACCAATCAAGATGCATGCTCGAAGAAGAAGAGTCTTGATTGGTGCCAGAGTCGGGGGACTTTTCCCTCTCGCGTCACGAAGTAAACAGTACTTCAGTCGTTGTTCAGACGGCGTACGTGGTACGTTCCAAAAAACGGCAGCCCCCGAATCGTCACAAAGATTACAACCACTTCCCATTAGATTCGTTACTTTTGTTATCGCAAACTACCTTCACTGCAGACATTTTACTCACGGATCCTACGGTGATACAAACGTATCTAAAATCACGTCCCGGTAGCATTACGGTTAAAATCGAGTTATTCGCGAATATGCTTGGCCTACTTTAGCTCGCGACCGTGGCGGATGTTCTCCGCAATACCAAGCGCGGAGGGATGAAATTTAAAAGGCACGTTTTACCCCGTACACGCGCACCTCCCTTTTTATCGATGAATCAGCCGATTCCGAGCACGTGTTAAACACGTTTTTCCGCGTTTTCGTCGAACAGCTGAAGCGTGAACGTGCGTCGAGATCCGACGGTCTCTCTATTCGCGGCGACGAGCCACGGTGCTCCGCGTGGGTGGCAACGTTTTACGTGGGCAGAGGACATTAGCGTATCGATATACGGCACGATTTGATCGGGCGATCGTCAAATATACATGCCAAACTACGACGTTGATGGTATTTACGAGTCGAATTCCGGGGCACCCAGTGGGTCGGAACTCGCAGACCAGAGGAAAATTGCTTCTACGAAGAAACAACCGGAAGTTTTAACAGTGACCGCGGAATTGCAGACTTTTGCGCCGTGTTTCGAAGAACCTCTTCATTCCGTTCTCGAGCGAACGGAATTATCGATAAATTTCACCAACGGGCACAATGGGAGCTTTTGTGATG